CTTCATTAGAATATTTACTTTCCCCTATAAGGGTCTAGATACGTCTCGCATGAGCCTTTCCCTACTACCCAAGATATTGAGGCCTCTCAGTCTTTGTTATCTTTCTTTTTCTAACCTGAGAGGTACAGCATAGTTTTATTTTATCTTTTCTCTATAACCCTTGGGTGTACAGGAACCTTACATCCTTGTTTGTTAATCTTACCTCTGAAGAGCCTGCTGACTTCTGATCCACAGATGTGATGTCACCACTCTACAACGGAGACAAATAACCAAACACCTCACAACAAAACAAATAATATAGTCATAAGATTGGCATTTAATATTTTCTCAAATGCCAATCTCTGTCATAATCATTTCTTAGTCAATCAGTGGTCCAGATTTGCTAGCCTCCAACATCCACAAGAGATTTACACACTGTTTCTTTGTGGGCAGCTAATATAATTACTGTGTTGTTACCTCAGCAGAAACTAACTGCAGCCAATCTGTTCACTCTTTAACAGTTAAGGTATGTTCAAATATACAACCTGCTCACTGTTTCACACTCTTATCCAAGAATGTTTGGCATCAGAACTGCTACCCTGGCATCTGGGGAAAGAACCATTTTCTCATACAAGTTGCTTTGGTTCCTTATCTGTACCCAAACAGTATTGTTTAAAATGATTTCAATGTATTTCCGATGAGGTAAGATCTAATGGAGGACAACTATGCCCACAATGTGCCTACCTGCTGCCTAAAACAATGTGCCTACATGCCCAGAAAAAGGTGCCAACCTGCCCAGAACAAGGTGCCTACCTGCCCAGAACAAGGTGCCAACCTGCCCAGAACAAGGAGCCTACCTGCCCAGAACAAGGTGCCAACCTGCCAGAACAAGGTGCCTACCTGCCCAGAACAAGGTGCCTACCTGCCCAGAACAAGGTGCCAACCTGCCCAGAACAAGGTGCCAACCTGCCCAGAACAAGGTGCCAACCTGCCCAGAACAAGGTGCCAACCTGCCCAGAACAAGGTGCCAACCTGCCCAGAACAAGATGCCAACCTGCCCAGAACAAGGTGCCAACCTGCCCAGAACAAGGTGCCTACCTGCACAGAACAAGGTGCCTACCTGCACAGAACAAGGTGCCTACCTGCCTAGATCATCGTGCATCAGCCCGGGGTCCTCATCAAAGACATCGATATACAGCAGCTGTCCATCAGCAGAGTCTACAATCAGCTCAAATGTCTCATCCCAGACAGGACACAAGGAATTGTGCACAACTTTGGTTTTCACCTGCTTGGCTCCTACTAAGATAGGAAAGACAAGTAACAATCAGCTAAAGTATGGCTCCTACTAAGATAGGAAAGACAAGTAACAATCAGCTAAAGTATGGCTCCTACTAGACAGGGAAGACAAGTAAGTCAGCTAAAGTATGGCTCCAACTAGACAGGGAAGACAAGTAACAATCAGCTAAAGTATGGCTCCAACTAGACAGGGAAGACAAGTAACAATCAGCTAAAGTATGGCTACAACTAGACAGGGAAGACAAGTAACAATCAGCTAAAGTATGGCTACAACTAGACAGAGAAGACAAGTAACAATCAGCTAAAGTATGGCTACAACTAGACAGAGAAGACAAGTAACAATCAGCTAAAGTATGGCTACAACTAGACAGGGAAGACAAGTAACAATCAGCTAAAGTATGGCTCCAACTAGACAGGGAAGACAAGTAACAATCAGCCAAAGTATGGCTCCAACTAGACAGGGAAGACAAGTAACAATCAGCCAAAGTATGGCTCCAACTAGACAGGGAAGACAAGTAACAATCAGCTAAAGTATGGCTACAACTAGACAGAGAAGACAAGTAACAATCAGCTAAAGTATGGCTACAACTAGACAGGGAAGACAAGTAACAATCAGCTAAAGTATGGCTCCAACTAGACAGGGAAGACAAGTAACAATAAAAATCAGCTAAAGTATGGCTCCAACTAGACAGGGAAGACAAGTAACAATCAGCTAAAGTCTGACTTCAACTAGACAGGAAAGACCTGGCTTCTTTGGATATTCTATCTATTACTTACATCAGTAGCATAATATACATAATTCACTAAACAAGAACAAAGGAAGAATCAAACTGTAGTCAGGAAATGTCAAGGGCCCTTGTCCAGCTAAAGAGCTGTAAGTAAAGTAAAGTAAAGATTTTTTCACGCCTTTAGGCGCATCAGGCTTATGGGATGAGCACCTATATTTTTACAGACCAATCGGCACTCGGTGGGTAATGTGGTCAGCATTACGCCGGCCGTCTTTGCTTCCACAGGACAGCCATCATGGTACCCAATTGAGGCTGGGTTGACCTGCGACGTCCCACACCACGATAAAAATCCACTCAGCCCGCAGTGGGTTTCGATCGCAGTATGTTGGATTATGAGTCGGACTCGCAACGCCTTAGCCACGGATGCCGCCCACAGAGCTGTACTGTATATATATAGTAAAGCCATATATTATCAAAGATCAATTGGCACACGATGATTCGTCATCATCATCATCATCAATTTCCACTGTTGTCATTTAGCGAGGGGGGAGGAACCGTTTGCAATCCATTGCTTGATGGGTAGCAATGGAAACTGACATTTTGTGTCGATGCAGAAGTTCTTTAATGTCATCAGTCCACCTCTTGCTTTCACATGTATTGCATATGTTGGTAGTTGTTGTGGCAGCATTTTAACAAGATAACCAAACTATTTGAACTTCTGTTTCTAAATTATTTGGTGCATGGTGTTGTTGCCAGTCTGTCTGATAGTATCATTTCTCATGTTGTTGCATGATCAGTGATAGGGTCAATGTCTTGCTAAGCCATCGTTACTGCCCAGAAATGTCCCTAGTACCCACTTAATCCAGGTAAACATGGGAACGTTGATCTACATTTTAAAAAAGCTCCATGAAGATCAGTGATTAAACAGGTTTTATCCCAAGGAGAACAGCTAGATGCCTGCTAGCAATATCACACAAAACACAAACTTCACAGCCCAGCTGAAAATCCTCAGGGATTTCAGACAAAACATGTCACTCAGGAACAGAACATTACAGTCGAAACACTCCCTTCAGAGCATTGGACAAATGATCCGAGCTGCTCAGCCGAGAAACTGGAACAGACAGAATCATGCCACCCCTACCCCCTCACCTGCTCATACTTGTGCAAGAGTTCTCTACTACCACAAAAAGTGGGTCTCCAGTAAGAGTTACCTCTGATCTTGCAGTAGGGATCCGACTTGCCCATTCCTGTGAGACCAATATCTGCCTGGATCAAGTCCTTGGCTTCCACCACTTTAATCCTGACCACGCCCTGCACATAAGCACATGTGTCAAGCAGACAGCCATAACTATGATCCTACCACATACAAACACACAAGTCAAATCAAGATCAAGCAGACAGTTATAACTATGATCCTACCACACACAAACACACAAGTCAAATCAAGATATCAAGCAGACAGCCATAACTATGATCCTACTACAAACAAGTCAAGTTAAGATCAAGCAGACAGCCATAACTATGATCCTACCACATACAAACACACCAGTCAAATCAAGATCAAGCAAACAGCCATAACTATGATCCTACCACACACCAAACACACAAGTCGAATCAAGATCAAGCAGACAGCCATAACTATGATCCTATCACACACCAAACATACAAGTCAAATCATGATCAAGCAGTCAAAAACATAACCCTGACCATGCCATACACATAAGTTAAATCAACATTAAACACACACGCAAATAAACACACTGATCAAATCATCAAGTAGACACACACTAGTCAAATCAACAGCTAGCAGTCACAAATATAATCCTGAACACCCCCCCCCCCCTTTTCTTTCTCATACACACACATGAGAACAAACAGACAACAGTGACAAAGAGTCACAGATTAAAAACAACTAGAGCGTGACAATGCATGCAGACAGCTCAGCTCCAACAGCTGGCAGTGAACCACTCCTCCCCTCCCACCTCCAATGCACACACACACACACACACACACACACACACACACACACATATGTCACACACACAAACACAAAGCCCATATTGATTATTCTCAAGCAGACTAGAATTAAATGTTCTCTGTTATATTCCAACAGGACAACAGGTGTAGTTTGATATCTCTGACAACACCTGCACACATTTTCCCCTGCCAATCTTCTTTCTAAAGCTTCAAACAAATAAGGTCATTATGTGTTTTGCTGTCTGTGCACTGTGCTGGGACACTCCTAGTGTCCTAGACATCAACCTGAAGATACTTCACAAGCCGCCTGCTCACGCTGTGGAGGTCTTGGGTTCGTTCCCAGCAGGCAGCTAGCCATTCTCTGGTGAGAATCTGAGCCACATGGAATCAAATCTGCTGCAATGAAATCATCACTCTCACCTTTAACTTCACAAAAGCAGAGGTTGATGTTGAGACGGTTCACTCCGAGATGTTTGCTAGTGTCTAAGAAAACTAGAAAACGGACCCACTAACCCATAATCAGAAGAGAGTTAAATTGCACTTCCTTCTGAAAGTGCCAAACTCATGAGCAGAGAGTTAACTTGCACTTCTGACAGTAGCAAAACTTACAAAAAGAGAGTTAACTTGCACTTTTGACAGTAGCAAAACTCACAAAAAGAGAGTTAACTTGCACTTTTGACAGTGCCAAACTCATTAGCAGAGAGTTAACTTGCACTTCTGACAGTAGCAAAACTCACAAAAAGAGAGTTAACTTGCACTTTTGACAGTGCCAAACTCATTAGCAGAGAGTTAACTTGCACTTCTGACAGTAGCAAAACTCACAAAAAGAGAGTTAACTTGCACTTCTGACAGTGCCAAAGTCACGAGCAGAGAGTTAACTTGCAGTTCTGACAGCAGCAAAACCCAGACCAGAACCTACTTGTGGCTGCGGGTAGCGCAGCTTGTTCAGGTCCAGACCCTCCACCATCTTGATAGGGAAACGGTTCGGCAGCACCATGAAGTTAGATATCTGTTCCTGGATGCTGGCATACAGAATGTCACTGAAACAGTCACACACATGTTATTTACTGAAGTTGTGGCAGCTGTCAGAGCAGCTGGTGAAACATCCTACTATCCTACTGGTTTGAGGTGGAAAGCCGACTAACAGAGTTGTTTTCTCTGTAGAAAGCATGATGAGAAAAAAATTCTAAATTATGAGACCTGTAATAATTTTGATCTAATCATAACTGTCGAAGATCGTTTAAGACATCACAGGTGAATAACAGAGAGAGGGCATGGAGACAACTGCCAGAGAACAGCTGGATGAGAGTCCCTGCTCTTACTGGTAATAAAGAACAGAAGAAGATCAGTGTCCCAAAGGCCTGGCTTATTTGCCTTCCTTAGTAGCCACTATACTGTTTTTGTTTCCTTAAAAAACAAATTCTCAGCTTTTGAAATTCTCCACTCCATGAAGATTACAGGTCCCACTGGGAAAAACGTAAGAACAGACCTACTGCTTCCGCAAAAGCATATCATCAGACTCAATTAACTTGGAGCTTCTTTCCAAGTTTTAGTGACAGGCAAGGGACAAACAGTCTGCAAACACATCAGTCAGATCTGTAAAACAGATTTGCATGCAACAGTCAGGTTCTAGAACAGGACTAGAATCCAAAAGTGGACAAACAACCGGCACTTTCCACTGGAGTTTACTGCCAGTGAACGTGAAGACGAAGAAGAAATTCTCCACAGGTGAACTGTTCGCAATTTCTGGCTCCATGTCACATCAAATGAAACTAACACAGATGTTGATAGAATTCTTATCATCAGACGACAACAATGCACATTACTGGAAATACTGAGAGAAGATCAATTGGATAATATTGTGACAACAAGAAAACAGAGGAAAAACACAGAAATCCGGAACACAGGGTCTCAACTAACTAGGACTTGCAGAACCCTTGTATTTTCGGAGATCAGCCATATTTCCAACCATCACAATTTTGTATAGTCACAGTGAGGAACTTACTACAATTTATAAATATTAGAAATGTAAAAATGCTGGTACTCCTAAGCTTGTCTTTACTTTGTTTTTTTGGTGTGTACAGGATATCAAGAACTCTTTCAATTTATTATGATGATCCATGGACTCCCAGATGGGAAGTGCCGCCGGCTGTCTGGCAAAACACCATGAAGAATAATCACCATCAAATGGTGTGCATCAGTAACAAGTGTCCCTCTGCCCCCACGTCTTCAAGTGCCTTCATAGAAGATATGCTAATCAACAGCTGCTGGAAACGTTGAGCATGGAGACACTGAGATGGCTGCTGTATTGGAGGATGGAACACGAATGCATCAGACCAATGTGCTAAAATGTTGATATAGATAACAAGTAACATGTGATCACACCACATGATGATGATAATATTGAATAATGGCAATGATGATGGTGAGGACACTGGAGATGGCAAGGACACTGGAGACGACAAGGACACTGGAGATGGCAAGGACACTGGAAATAGAAAGGACACTGGAGATAGCAAGGACACTGGAGATAAAAAGGACACTGGAGATAAAAAGGACACCAAAGATAGCAAGGACACTGGAGATAGCAAGGACACTGGAGATAAAAAGGATACCAAAGATAGCAAGGACACTGGAGATAGCAAGGACACTGGAGATAGCAAGGACACTGGAGATAGCAAGGACACTGGAGATAGCAAGGACACTGGAGATAGCAAGGACACTGGAAATAGAAAGGACACTGGAGATAGAAAGGACACTGGAGATAGCAAGGACACTGGAGATAGCAAGGACACTGGAGATAAAAAGGACACCAAAGATAGCAAGGACACTGGAGATAGCAAGGACACTGGAGATAGCAAGGACACTGGAGATAGCAAGGACACTGGAGATAGCAAGGACACTGGAGATAGCAAGGACACTGGAGATGGCAAGGACACTGGAGATGGCAAGGACACTGGAGATAGCAAGGACACTGGAGATAGCAAGGACACTGGAGATGGCAAGGACACTGGAGATGGCAAGGACACTGGGGATGACAAAAATGAACTGCAGTCTCACCTGAGTCCTGGAAACTCAAGAGCATTAGCCAGACTTGTGAAATCAAAGTCCAAATCCTAGAGAACATAGAAGAATATATATATATATATATATATATATATATATATATATATATATATATATATATATATATATATATATATATATATATATATATATATATATATATATATATATTATGGACACAGACATGTACACAGACACATCAGCAAACAGAATCAAACTCAAAATTCTAAACAACATAAAAGAATATTTATATATTGTGAACACAGACACATCAGTAAACAGAATCAAACTCCAAATTCTAAATAACATAGAAGAATATCTATATATTGTGGACATAGACACGTTAATAGTCATAGCAAACAGAATCAAACTTAAAACTCTACACAACATTGAAGAATATCTACATATAGTGGACCCAGACACATCAGCAAACAGAATCAAACTTAAAATCCTAGAGAGCATAGAAGAATATCTATATATTGTGGACACAGACTGGTACACATACACAGACACATAAGCACACATAATTAAACTCAAAATCCTAGAGAATAAAGAAGAATATCTATATATTGTGGACACAGACTGGTACACATACACAGACACATCAGCAAACAGAATCAAACTCAAAATCCTAGAGAACATAGAAGAATATCTATATATTGTGGACACAGACTGGTACACATTCACAGACACATAAGCACACATAATTAAACTCAAAATCCTAGAGAATACAGAAGAATATCTATATATTGTGGGCACAGACAGACACAGACACACGAGAAAGAGAACTTACTGGGTTGTTGAGGAAGAAGACCAGCATTCCTCCAATCAGTGGGATCCTGTTGATCAGAGGTCTGAAGACAACACGCAGGGTGCCATGGAGCTGACAGTGACAGACAGATATCAATACAATCAACTGCCACTACAGGTGTCACACAGTAATGCAAAGTAAAGGATCCTTGACCCCACCTTCAGATGTACCGGACATACAGGGCTAGACTTATATTTTATTGGTCAATCAGCACTCAGGGGGGGGTGATGTGGTCAACATCATACTAGCTGCCTTTACTTCCCATGTCTTTACCTGGTATCCATTTAAGACTGGGTCAACCAAGGTCACATTTTTGGAGGGGAAAAAATCAGGCTCTTGTTTGGATTCAAACCCACTTCATATCCGCAGGTGTGCACCTAACTGCATTTGTCACTTGCTGATTTTAAATCTTTGGCCTAAATTAGGGACACCGAGTCTCGGCTGCAGGTTTCCTTGTGATCAACATGACTGATGTCCCAAACCGCACAAATCAGATGTTCTATGCTGCCCTTGAGGTCAACTTGACTGATGCCCCAAACCACACAGATCAGATGTTCTACGCTGCCCTTGTGGTCAACATGACTGATGTCTCAAACTACACAGATCAGATGTTCTATGCTGCCCTTGAGGTCAACATGACTGATGCCCCAAACTGCACAGATCAGATGTTCTATGCTGCCCTTGAGGTCAACATGACTGATGCCCCAAACCGCACAGATCAGATGTTCTATGCTGCCCTTGTGATCAACAACATGACTGATGTCCTAAACTGCACAGATCAGATGTTCCACGCTGCCCTTGTGATCAACAACATGACTGATGCCCTAAACTGCACAGATCAGATGTTCTATGCTGCCCTTGAGGTCAACAACATGACTGATGTCCCAAACTGCACAGATCAGATGTTCTACGGTGCCCTTGTGGTCAACAACATGACTGATGTCTCAAACTGCACAGATCAGATGTTCTATGCTGCCCTTGTGATCAACAACATGACTGATGTCCCAAACTGCACAGATCAGTTGTTCTACGCTGCCCTTGTGGTCCACAACATGACTGATGTCTCAAACTGCACAGATCAGATGTTCTATGCTGCCCTTGAGGTCAACAACATGACTGATGTCCCAAACTGCACAGATCAGTTGTTCTACGCTGCCCTTGTGGTCCACAACATGACTGATGTCCCAAACTGCACAGATCAGATGTTCTATGCTGCCCTTGAGGTCAACATGACTGATGTCCTAAACTGCACAGATCAGATTTTCTACGCTGCCCTTGTGGTCAACAACATGACTGATGTCCCAAACTGCACAGATCAGATGTTCTACGCTGCCCTTGTGGTAAATATGACTGATGCCCCAAACTGCACAGATCAGTTGTTCTACGCTGCCCTTGTGGTCAACAACATGACTGATGTCTCAAACTACACAGATCAGATGTTCTATGCTGCCCTTGAGGTCATCATGACTGATGTCCCAAACTGCACAGATCAGATGTTCTACGCTGCCCTTGAGGTCAACAACATGACTGATGTCCCAAACCGCACAGATCAGATGTTCTATGCTGCCCTTGAGGTCAACAACATGACTGATGTCCCAAACTGCACAGATCAGATGTTCTATGCTGCCCTTGAGGTCAACAACATGACTGATGTCCCAAACTGCACAGATCAGATGTTCTACGCTGCCCTTGAGGTCAACAACATGACTGATGTCCCAAACCGCACAGATCAGATGTTCTACGCTGCCCTTGTGGTCAACATGACTGATGTCCTAAACTGCACAGATCAGATTTTCTACGCTGCCCTTGTGGTCAACAACATGACTGATGTCCCAAACTGCACAGATCAGATGTTCTACGCTGCCCTTGTGGTAAATATGACTGATGCCCCAAACTGCACAGATCAGTTGTTCTATGCTGCCCTTGAGGTCAACATGTCTGATGTCTCAAACCGCACAGATCAGATGTTCTATGCTGCCCTTGAAGTCATCATGACTGATGTCCCAAACTGCACAGATCAGATGTTCTACGCTGCCCTTGAGGTCATCATGACTGATGTCTCAAACCAGGGACTGACCAGCAGAAAGATGGATACTGGATACTGGAGGCCATAGGAGCAGAAAATGACACTAGGCAGGAAGCTGGCAAGGGACCAAGAGACATTCCTGTGGACCAAACTGGCAACAATTTTCTGCCACATGAAGACATTTCTTGTGCTTAAAACTCAATTAAAACAGCCAACTTATATTTGAAAAACTGGCTGAGTCATCCTGCTGTCCTGCCTTGTGTTTATGCACCACTTAACTCACGGGCACAGATGTTTGTGTACCATGTGTCACTGTTGTCTGCAACAGGTTGTCAGATCCCACCATCACAAGATGGAGTCTCTCTGACAGTATGATACACAATCAATAACACACAGGCCCGGAGTGAGCAGCAACAATTACTCAACAAACTGAACAATCAAACAGAGGAAAGATTTAGATTAAACAATAATAATTCAAAAGCTGAGCTTTTCTAGCAGTAGAAAATGTGTGTGAGTTACAAGAATTTCAACCCAATAAAAACTGAGCAATGATTAAAAGATTAAAACAATAATTAAATTCTAATATCACAGGACGAAATGACTTCTATTCATCCTTATCAGATTTTGATAGCATTACCCTCAGACTGACGATTCATTGTCCATGTTTCTGTACAGTACTCAGGTGAAAGGTCAATAAAATCCCTAATCACATTAAAGCTTTAACATTGAGATGGGGGGAGCTACAATTATGTTTCTTCCTTCGTCTTCCGATGGAGCATAGGCTCCCAGCCAACACATACCTAGCTTTCTGTAGACCTGTTTATGTCTGGCTGGATATTTCAGCTACAGTTGTCTTAATGATGCCGTAACCAATCTCTTGCCAACCTTCCCTAGTTGCCTCTTATGACACACATTCAGTGTTGGCATTCTTCGCTTCCCCGTTTTAGCAACTCAAGGACAGAAACCAATAAAACTGATATTTCAAAGTGTTCATGTCGGCATATTTTTTAAATGTTTTATTTTGTTATACCCAAGTCATAAAATTATGCGTTCCTTGTACTTCTCGCATAACATAAGTTTAGTTAACACAATCATAAAAGACACACATGAGAAACCAACACCTACTCTGAGATTTTTTATTCCTGCAGCCATGCCTTTGATTGTGACTTCAATGTTGGAGTCGCCACTGTAGCTGGAAGATGGGAGCAAACAGAATCAAGTTGCAGGGATCATGTCTACGTACTTTTTCATCTTCTTCTTCTCAATGTTCACTAGCTGTAAACTGCAGCAGAAAGTTCTAAATGTTCATCCACTTTCAGACTTTGGTCTTGTTGTAGAAACTGAGTTTTGCATGCACATCAATTCTACAGAACTGGCTCATTTGTGTGCAGACTGTTGACTCCTTGCCTCTCAGGCTGATGCACTCTGGAAACAACCCTAATTAATCATGCCTTTATGACCTGCTTGTGGGGATGGGGAGGCAAGGGGTCTATCCCTACCCCCCTAACATGGGGTTTGGTCATCTATTTAGGTAATGTCTTAATACAGTGTATGTGTGCGTGGGGGGAGGGGGGGGGGGGGAGGTCAAACCGTCTGCTTGCTAACAAAATCCATTTGCAGTTAAAATAACAAGCCTAACAATATAGTTAGTTATTCCTCTTGTGCCAAAGATGGCGCATAGGGCAGAGGTCATAGCTTTCCACGTCTGTCGGTTCTTTGCCACTTGATGTAGGTCTTGAGTGCGACTGAGACCTATGGTTGAGCTCTCCCTTGTGATGGTTCTACGGAGAGTTTCTTTTGGTCTTCCCTGTTTTCTTTTACCCTCTGGTGACCATATGAAGGCTTGGTGGGGAAGTCTCTGTATGTCCATTCTGAGTACGTGACCGATAACAAAATACTGAAGTCAAAAGGGATTTGAAGACAACAGTTTAGAACATACAACAGCAACATTTTAGCAATACTACTATACAACAGCAACATTTTAGCAATACTACTATACAACAGCAACATTTTAGCAATACTACTATACAACAGCAACATTTTAGCAATACTACTATACAACAGCAACATTTTAGCAATACTACTATACAACAGCAACATTTTAGCAATACTACTATACAACAGCAACATTTTAGCAATACTACTATACAACAGCAACATTTTAGCAATACTACTATACAACAGCAACATTTTAGCAATACTACTATACAACAGCAACATTTTAGCAATACTACTATACAACAGCAACATTTTAGCAATACTACTATACAACAGCAACATTTTAGCAATACTACTATACAACAGCAACATTTTAGCAATACTACTATACAACAGCAACATTTTAGCAATACTACTATACAACAGCAACATTTTAGCAATACTACTATACAACAGCAACATTTTAGCAATACTACTATACAACAGCAACATTTTAGCAATACTACTATACAACAGTGAGGGTTAGAAAATGACAGCTGGAATAACACATAAAATACAAGGCTTTTCAAAATAAATGTTCAAAGAGAATTCTGTGAATATTTTGGCTAAACAAAATCAGAAGTGGAGAAACTGTACAGGAAAGTCAATTGTCAAAAGAAGAAGATGGAAATGGCTTTGAATGCCTCAGGACACTTTTGCAAGGACAGCTTGTCAGTGGACGGCAGGTGAAACAAAAAAAATGAATGTGGCCAACTTAAAAGAAACCTGGAGGACAGTATAAAGGCAAATAAAGGGGTGTGTGTAATACAGCAACATCAGACCAAATTAGTTTGGGAATCAATGTGGTATCTTAGTGCAGCACACACACACACACACACACACACAAAATCTTCTTTGCGCTCACCGGCTGTAAACTCCTGTGGCAAGTTCTCGTTGTTCCCCCCCCCCCCCCCCCCCCCCCCCCCCCCTTTAGATTTTAGTCTTGATCCAGGACCTGAGTGTTGCGTGCACATCCATTTTACAGATCTAACTTATTTGGATGCAGATTGTACTTTCAGTGCCTCTCAGACAGATGCACTCTGACTTCAAAAGAAATGCCCTAATTAGTGAACTCTTACAACAGGGTTTTTGAAGAGACAGTCCATTCTTGCTTTCTCCACAACAAGGCCCCGAACCCACATGGGGGTGGGAAGGGGGGGGGGGGGGACATGAATTTAAACAATATAAAATGTACACAAGTGTACAAGGTTAGTACATAAGCATACAATGTTAGGACACATACCCTAACACAAGCAGGGAGGCCATTAATAAAACACTGATACTGAAAATAAGCCATTCATGCAAGAACAAATTAAACACAAAATAATATGATTTGAAAACAGAAAGGGGGTAGAAAAGAACTAGGTCTCTAAAACAGTCAAGCACTGGTGTCATCTGTCATTCTACCCAACAGTCAAGCACTGGTGTCATCTGTCATTCTACCTAACAGAATATACACAAAAAAGGCATCTCAAACTATTTTCACTCCTACGTTTTGTTATCAATTAGCTGGCATTAAAACCTATATCTTCACAAGCTGGGACAACAAAGGCACAATGAGCCCCTGAAATGATCAAAATGACAAACAGGCACAATGAGTCACTAAAATCCTTGTTGAGAAGTCGTGTACAATACATTATCAATACATTACTAAATCCCTTGAGATTTGTCCTTACTTAAGTTCAAGGTCCATATATATCTCGTCTCGTTTGACCTGTGTGTAGACCTTGACCCCTCCGATACGAGGAGGCTGAAAGACACAACCCATCAAATAAAACCACAAGCAGCTGTAGAAATATCCAAACTGGCAACATGAGGAGACTCAGTAATGTTTACAGTGTATCTCTTCTTCTTCTGCTGTGCTTGCCCTTAAAACGGTGACTGGCACATTATTCTGTAGTTTACAGCTAGGCTACGATATTTGTACTTTTCAGCCTGACATATCCGACAGCAGCAAACCCTTAAATAGTCACCTTTTGTTACAACCTTCTTAAAAGGCAGTCAATACTCCCCCGCCCCCTCCGCCCTCATTTTTTCTTAAACCAAACAGAGCCCTAGAACCCACACAGAGAACAATGTATTTAAGACAAGACAGTTCATGGTTCTGGAAGCTGTGATGGCACAGTGGCTGGCATCGCTACCTGCTGGCCTGACAGTCATGTGTTTGAATCCCCAATAAGGAGGAACATATTTTTTTTTAAACAGAACACAAACCAGCTGCCCTGGTTTCCAGATTGACACGGCTCAAAATGGAAAATAATCTGGCAAATACAGGAGGATGAAGGATGCTGACAACATCACCGTTCAAGTGCCAATTAATATACAACAATATAAAGCTAGTCAATCAAATCAGGTGTCATCTCCACAGTAAAGGTTGGCTTCAATGGATCTTCAACACTCTCTGTCTCTTGACTTGGCTGTACACTCTCTCATAATGCTGGCTAATCATCTCTTGATGTCGTCCTCCCACTTGTAATGTTTTGACCTCTTGATCTCTTGCCCTTGACCTTTCCTTTCAGTATTTTTTTTAAAAAGAGTGTCTTTATTTTAGTTTACATCTGTGGATCAGGCGCTGCGAAAGCGCTTTGTCATTCCAGGGTGCCGGTTTTGATCCTGGCAGCAGACTGCCATGCATTGTTTTTGACAGTGATCTGGAGAGCCAGTTGTTTAGCAAGCAATGGCTAACTTCTAAACACAAAGTGCACCAGTGAAATCACAAATTTCCAAAAGAGACTGTGGTTGGTTCTGCAACATCATGAAAAGGATACATAATTAACTGTTTTTTTGTCTTTTAATGTGGCCAAAATATTTCAACGCCTTTTTTAATTTCTTTCATTAACTCTCTTTTCATTCAGTCTCTCAAAGAACTCTGTATTATAGAGCTGGTATCATTTACCCTAGGAGAATGAAAATTGTTGATGGCTAAGTTGGAGTTGAAAATATCATCATCAAGTGCCCTGCTAAATGGAATCGGTGATGAAACTTTTCCACATCTACGACAACATGTTTTCATCTGTACATGGCGTACTTTGAATATTCTTCGGTAGAACCACATTTCTCCGCGGATTGTGAAATGATGAGGTCACAAACAATATATTTCATTTACCATCTGGCATACTTCGGTGTATCTGGTCAGGTGCATTACTAGTGAATGTAGGTCAATACATTATGAAGCACAAATCAAGAATCCTTGAAAATGAATTCAGTTATGTAACCAACAGGATCACATGTTTAACCTAGACTTCCATAGCAAGATGTACAGATTAACAGAGACACTTCAGTCTGGTAGCCTGGTAGTCTTAGTTTCAGCTTTATAGCAAACGGGTCACCCCATCTTTGCTCCGCTCCTGTGCCAACGAAAAACACACAGAATGTTTATCACAGTATTAGAATTGCAGTTCATCATTGATGGCAGCAGAAGTCGCCAATAGATCAGCAGTTGCCCACGCGATCAATTTTAATCACATACGGGCACCACAACACTGCACGACAGGCATCGCGCCATTTTCTGAATCTACAATTCACTGCAGCTCACAGGGTCACGCCATGCATTCAACTCAGAAGCTGGGCGACGAAACTATATCCAGTCTACAAATGGAGCAAAAATGCATTGGCCACCGTCCGGCAGAAGCAAAAAATTTGCCTCTGTTTCAAACAGTGCCGCTGCCTAACGTCCATTTGACTGGAAGTCACAACACTAGGTCAGTGACATCACATCACTTTGGTTACCCACCACAACACTAGGTCAGTGACATCACATCACTTTAGTTATCTATCACAACACTCAGTCAGTGACATCACTTTAGTTATCCATCACAACACTAGGTCAGTGACATGAAATCACTTTAGTTATCCATCACAACACTCAGTCAGTGACATCACTTTGGTTATCCATCACAACACTAGGTCAGTGACATCACATCACTTTGGTTACCCACCACAACACTAGGTCAGTGACATCACATCACTTTAGTTATCCATCACAACACTAGGTCAGTGACATCACTTTAGTTATCCACCACAACACTAGGTCAGTGACATCACTTTGGTTGCCCACCACAACACTAGGTCAGTGACATCACATCACTTTAGTTATCCACCACAACACTCAGTCAGTGACATCACTTTAGTTATCCACCACAACACTCAGTCAGTGACATGACTTTAGTTATCCATCACAACACTCAGTCAGTAACATCACTTTAGTTATCCACCACAACACTCAGTCAGTGACATCACTTTGGTTACCCACCACAACACTAGGTCAGTGACATCACATCACTTTAGTTATCCATCACAACACTAGGTCAGTGACATCACTTTAGTTATCCATCACAACACTAGGTCAGTGACATCACTTTGGTTGTCCATCACAACACTAGGTCAGTGACATCACTTTGGTTATCCATCACAACACTAGGTCAGTGACATCACTTTAGTTATCCATCACAACACTAGGTCAGTGACATCACTTTGGTTATCCATCACAACACTAGGTCAGTGACATCACTTTGCTTATCCATCACAACACTAGGTCAGTGACATCACTTTGGTTACCCACCACAACACTAGGTCAGTGACATCACAGAGACACTTCAATCTGTCTATTTCACTTACAAAAATTCATGTTTGTGCTTCAGTCAATCTCCTCACACACAAACACATACATGCATGTGCATAAAATAAATATAAGAGATCACTCCAATGTCAAAACTGTAAGTGTGTATAAGCATCAAAGATAAAGTATAAGGAATTTTAACTTGACAGAATCCAAACGTGGTTCTGATGTACAAACATAGTGGGGAGCAGGGGAGGAAAAATGAGAGAAATGGGAGGGAATGAGGCTGAAGCATGCAGGGAACCAAATACAATAGGATATAACATACAACATTGAAAATACAGTTACAATTAAATGGGCGGGCACTGACCAGCACTCTCAGAAGAAGAAGAAAATAATACATTACAGTGTTGCCGAGATCTATCCTGCTGAACTTGAAAGACTGTAGAGAGGTGGGAAGGCTCTGAACGATGGACTTCTCCACACTTTCCCTGAGAATTTTTTCCACCATCTCCCCAATGTACGGCCACATCTGACGTAGGATCTGGCATCATAGAAATATGAGAATACACAATTATCACCACAGCATCGGTGACTGTGAAAACACAGCAGTTTTTGCTAGTCTCCTCTTTCATTTCCTGTAATGCTGCAGTGGCTTGGAATTTACTGGAGCCCAGTCTGCCTGGTTAACTGGGCCATGTCTTTCAGTAGAGGTCTTAGCTTGTTGAACTGTAGTCGCTTGAGGCTTTGTGTTGCCTGCATTCATATTTGAGCTCTCTAGCCACGTAATCTTGCTTTTCTGTTGACTGACAGAGAGGTGGGTGGAATCTGGGTGTGATTTCCCTTGCACTGAGTTCCGCTTATAACAGTTTTCCTTGCAATGAGTTCCGCTTATAACAATTTTCCTTGCAATGAGTTCCACTTATAACAATTTCTCTTCCAATGAGTTCAGCTTATAACAATTTCCCTTGCAATGAGTTCTGCTTATAACAATTTCCCTTCCACTGAGTTCTGCTTATAACAATTTTTCTTGCAATGAGTTCCGCTTATAACAATTTCCCTTCCAATGAGTTCAGCTTATAACAGTTTCCCTTGCAACGAGTTCGGCTTATAACAATTTCCCTTCCACTGAGTTCCGCTTATAACAATTTCGCTTCCACTGAGTTCCGCTTATAACAATTTCCCTTGCAATGAGTTCTGCTTATAACCATAACTCAACTAAGAAACTAAGCAAAATACAAAAATTATTTAAAAAAAACAGAGGAAGACAAAGAGATAATAACACTGACAACCTAACCAAATGCCATTAAAAGCAGTGCCGTCTTAACGCATGCGACCACCAGACCCTGGGCCGCATGAACACAAGGGCCCATGCTATTTTGTGTACATCAAGTGACTTGCCGTAAATAAAAATGCTATTCAGGGCAGTGGTTGTTGTAGGGGACTCAGCACACTGGTTTGCCCAAGGGCCCATTTTGCTGTTAAGACAGCTCCAAAAATAGGAAAAAGAACACAGGCCTGCTCTGTGACTGGTAATTGTGTAAGATTGTGAAGCCAGCTGTAAACTTTGGCGGAAAGTTCTGGTTGTTTGACCATTTCTGGACTGCAGTCATGTTCCAGAACTTTAGTGTTACGTGTGCATCCATTTGACAGATCTGACTAATTTGTATGCAGACTGTTGGTTCCTTGCCTCTCGGGCAGATGCACTTTGACTTTAAAGAAAGCTCCCAATTAGTCGACTCTTACAACATGATTTTGGGTAGGCAGTGGGTCTATTCTTGTTTTCCCTATACAGGGCCCCGGAACCCACATGGGATCAGATGCTGACTGACCTAATTAACCCCCTCTAGACAAAATGTTTCATGTATTACCTACCTACCTCGTGTAGTGAGTCTACGAACACAAATGTTGCCATCTACTTACCTTGTTCACCCATTCTGCTCTCTCAACATCTGGGAAATTTACCTGTGGATCAGTTTTATTTCACTGAATTAAAGATTTATAAATAAAATAAATGATCACAGAACTACTAAAAAATTACTACTGCGTCATTGATGCAAGAGTTTTCCATGATCTTGTAGGGTTTTTGGAGGCGTCTTTCTTAACTCGTGTCTACATCTCAATGGGCAGCCGTGGTGACACAGTGCCAGCTCCCTTGCCTGCTGTCACTGTGCATTCTAGAATTGTTCTTTATCACACAGTATTCAAATGGGGCTCTGTATTAACAAAAATTAAATCTCCAAATGCCTTCTTTTATGACTGCAAAGGCCATCAAAGAAAAACAAATGAAGATTTTTGGACACCTAACAAGAATGTCCTGGTACTATCTGCCACAGCGAGCCACACTAAAATGTTACAACGGGTATAGAGCGAGTGGAAGACCTAAGAAAATATGGACTGATGGCATTAAGAACAGCCCAATGTCCCCATCATCAGCAAGCAGCGAGGTGTTTCTTGTTCTTTGCATTCACCGACTACAAACTCTGGCTGAAAGTTCTGGCTGTTCGCCCACCTCTGGACTGTAGTGTTGTTCCAGAATTTAAGTGTTGAATACACATCTGCTTTACATTTCTGTATGCAGACTGTTGCTTTCTTGCCTTTCAAGCAGAAACATTCCTACTTCAAAGGAAGCTCCAAATTAATCAACTGCTAAGACATGCTTGGGGAGGCAGTGGGCCTGTTCTTGTGTTCCCCACAATGGGGCCTCAGAACCCACATAAGCACCACAGTTGAAATTCTAAATGGTTCCAGCTGCAGTCTGGTTATATGCTCCTCCAGCCTTACATTGGTGCACTGAGTCGTCTCTATCAGATCATTTAGTCACTCCCACTTGCAACATTCTTTCTAGACCAGGACTATTCAACTGGTGGCCCGCAGGCAACTCTGGCTCATGCAGGCCTAGCAAGTGGCCTGCGGATCGCTGCCAACTGTATATAGTATTAGTGATCTTTTTATGCTGAGGCTCTGGCCTGTGACTTTCCTTATTTTCAAAATTGTGGCCCTTCAGTTACCTTAGCTGAACAACCCTGTCCTAGACCATGGTGATTTGTTAGCTCTTCTACACTGTTCGGGTGCCAAAAGAGCAACTGACTGCAAAAGTACCATTTGTGTATGCTGCCAGGGAAAAGATCCATGTTTTCAAGAACTGTATGTTTGATAGTATAGTGTGATGTAAACAGATGTAACCTCTGTACTGCTAAGCTCCGCTCCTTCTGAGTTCTGTCGAATACCTCTTCATCCTGTCGTTTATTACAGAGAAGAGGTATTCCGCAAATAAAATAATGAAATAATTAAAAGGAAACATTCGTGTAGTGGTGCACTTACCCAAGAAGGCAGATCGTCAACTCTAGCTAAAATAACTTCCTTCTCATCTCTAGCAATATCTCGTGCAACAAGTTTCCTGTACTTCCTGGCACGGTAATGTTTCTCCTTCCACACATAAACCACAAGAAACAGCCACAGCCAGCTGACGGAATAGTCGAAATAGCCGACCAGCCAGACCACAGAAGCCACCCCTGCAAGCTTGAAGTACCTCTGAACAACGTTCATCAACACTGTGTCCTCCACGATCGATTTCTGCATATACTTGGGTATCGACGGCCTCCTCTTCATCGTTGTTGTTTTTGCAGCTGAGCACAAATACTGCTTTAATTAAACTCAATCTGAGAAGGATTGAGGAAATTTGCCCCGACAGGGAGTTCAGTCATACAATAAATAAGTAATTGTATTCTCCAGGTCCATCTACAGCCAGCTGTGGCCAGGCACGTTCGCAATTTGCGGCTAAAGTTCAAAGCTGTGTGTTATTATTGTATTGTAGTTTCTCCCGCCCCACCCTTCTACTTTTTTTAAAGTCTCCGCACTGTCATCTTATCTTCTTCTTGTGTCCTACTGTTTCTGTCTTAATGCGTCGCAGAGAAGACCTAGATGCAATTTCATATCTTTAGCAAGTTGTGTAGCTTGTTTTAATATCGTACTATATCCGTAGTTTATCTGTTACTGCCTCCACCTATTTCTTTCTTGGTCGACCTCTCGACTTGTAGCCTGCTGTTTTCATGTAAATAAACAGAGAGAGAGAGGGGGGGGGGAACCTTTGAGGCCGTTAAATATTATGAAATAATCAAGTAACAAAAAGTGTAGAGGGGGGACCTTTGAGGCCGTTAAATATTATGAATTAATCAAGTAACAGAAAGTGTATTGATCGGAACTCATAGAAAGAAGTAGAAATGTGTGTTCTTCTATCTTTCTACTTCTTACTATGAGTGCCGATCTATACACTTTATGTTTTCATGTAGCACGCTCTAGCTCTGGCTGATTTTGTTTCAGTCTGACCAGGTGACCAAACCATTTGATATTTTGATGTTCTACGAAGTGGTTTAATGGTACGGTACCTACCATTATTCTTAGTTCTTCCTTAGTAACTCTGTCTCTTCTTGTTTTTCCAGCCACATTGCTCATCTCACATGTTTAATTTTTTTGCGTTTATGTTTTTCTAGGACTGTACATGTTTGGTATTGATCGCACAAAGTTGGTACGAATACCTTGACAATGAAATGCCTAAAGACTGTAGAGGAAAGATCACCAGCTGAGGACTAGTCTAAGCCATTATAAATGTGTTGTGGTGACTTTGCTGTATCGATTCAAGATCTGTTGACAATTTAATACGACTTTCAGCAGATGTGCTGACGGCGTTATATATAGCACGAACTCCTTATTTCCAGTGACGATTCCCCCAGGAATCCTCTACAAATTGCACACATGAACTGAACGACGCCAATGTAACACGAATGCCAGTCCACAGAACGCGAGCCAAACGGCCTGACCACATCGCACCGGTGAAGAGGAAGACTTTGCAACTTAAATCCTGCGGAGATGGCACTGTGATGTAAGGAACAATTGTGAAGAAAGGGAGGGCTAGTCGCGCCGGATGTCTTCACTTAGAAGCTTGCTTGAAGTTGGGGGGGGGGGGGTGAAATTATCTGCAGCAGGTTCTGCATGACCTGCTCACTGGTGAGGATAAAAGTATTCACAAACACTAATTTCGATAAAGGCTGGTCTCTCTCAGGCAGGTACCACTTCAGCGTCAGTACCCGAGACTGCAGATTTGGAAGTCCCTGTCTTTAAAAGGATTGATCAACTTTTTAAAATTTTTTTTATTAAACATGCATTATCAGAATTGTACGCATTTAATCTTGGATGTGACAGGTTTCTAAAACATCATTTATGTGCTTTACTCATCTATCTTCCTTTACCTGTCCCATCCACTTGTCTGTACGTCTGTCCGTATGTCTGTGCACCGTTCTGTCTCCTTACCTATCGCCTGTTCACATCCCTATCTATCTAACCCTTGTTAGTTCAAGGTGCACCATTATTTGCCAGTAGTTCATTCCTCTGACTGCCAGAGCAACTACATACCACTCCAAAGCACCGATGTTAACCTTCCAATTAGAAGTTGATTATAATGTCTGGTATCTTAACTTCGAAGACGGCATAGAGATACCTCATCAAGTTTTCCTCTTTATGACTAAAGACCATCTACTAGTCCATCTATATTTTGGCCTGTCAATGTGTCTATCATATATATATATATATATATATATATATATATATATATATATATATATATATATATATATATATATATGGGACAACAAGGGAAGAAATCACGAATATTTAAATTGTCACCTGTTTAGTACTTCAGGGAAGCAGTGCATCTAGCCCAGGGGAAATGCGAGATGGATGTTTTTTTTTTTTTTTTGTTTACATAATTTGGGACCGGTATTCGGAAGAGTGAGGTCTTGAGGCTGTCCTTGAAACGTTTCTTCTGTCCACCTTGAGAGCGCTTTACTTTTAGTAGCTCACCATAGACTGTTACTTGAGCCATCGGAATTGGAACTGCGCTTGCTGCTGGAGATGGAGACTGAGTGCTTACTGGAGTGTCCCATGTGCTGTGATAAAAGTAAAAAAAAAAAAAGAACCGTTTTCACACCTTAGCCGCATCTGTTATATGGGAAGAACCTCCCATATTTTTTACAGACGAATTGGCACCGGATGGGTAATGTGGTCAGCATTACGCCGGCCGTCTTTACTTATGTGCTGTGTACCGATCCTTAATTCAACATTCAGCTTCTGGAGAAAGTCCAGATCTTGTCGAGTAGAACCAATCTGGCAGCGTATGATGGTGCCGCCTCGATTGATTTCACTCCCTGTGTACACAACAATGGCTGCCTGACAACAGAGTAAACATCTTCAACATCTCCAGCCGCTTTTTTTGTCTGGTATGTAGTATGTAGGCCCTGCAAACGCAAACTCACTTTAGCCTTTAAGTACATAATATTTTTCTCAATAAAGCTATCTGGTAATATTTTTTTATTGTAAATAAAGACCAGCATTGCTTATCTGAACCTTGCGCAATAACAGTTAACAGTAGTTAACAGAATAACACTAACTAATACTAATAGTCTAATAACACTACTTACTACTTTACTTGACTGGTAACCGTTTTAATACTAACTAATCTAATTAGTTAATTAGTAGCTCTACTAGTACTGTACGTGTTGTGCAGCGTGCAGCCTGTGTATGTTTTTAAACATTTAAATTCAAATTAATTAGCATTAGCGGGTCACTATCACTCAATCAGTCTGGTAGAACTAACTATATTGTTATTAACACCAGCCTTTTTATTTTACGTTGTAGTGATCTAATGTCACTAATGAAGGACGATTTGTTAACTGAGTTAAAGTGAGTTAAAAACCGTCATCTCAGCACTTGGGATACTCCTGTAACCGCTATGTTCTCATCTTTAGCAGCCAACGCACGGTCAGATTGCAGTGGCAGCAGTCTCATATGTCAGTGGAACAAAGCCTGGCATATAATATCACACAATATAGTTTGAGAATAGAGGCGAAGGCAGTCACGGCTTGAGAACTAGCTGCCAACACACATAGAGATTGTAAACTGACTCACAAAGCCTATTCAGGAAGGTTGAGACAGGTATGCTCCATGCAGAATGACAAGCATCACTTCAGAGATCCTGTGTAGTTGGCATTTTTGAATATTTTTTCTAGGTCATGAACGTTGTTGGGAAATGAACCGTCAGACAGACTGGCTGTTTCTGCACCATTTTGTGGTAAAATAATGCATGACAAGCTAAATGTTTTCAGGGGCTTTTGGAAACAGGTGAACGTCATTCATTATGAGAACAGAAAAAGATCATCACAGTCTGGAGAAAGGAAGGTGCAGCAGAGGAAGTGATTAGGGGATCTGGCCGACACTTGACATATGTTAATTATTGTGACTATTGGAACTAATAATTAATTTAAATACCACTTCTGTTGGCTGTCTCTGCGTCTGCTGCATTCTAGACAGTGAAAAGGCACTTGCTGCCTCAGTGTCTGCTGCATTCTAGACAGTGAAAAGGCACCGGCTGCCTCAGTGTCTGCTGCATTCTAGACAGTGAAAAGGCACCGGCTGTCTCAGTGTCTGCTGCATTCTAGACAGTGAAAAGGCACCGGCTGTCTCAGTGTCTGCTGCATTCTAGACAGTGAAAAGGCACCGGCTGTCTCGGTGTCTGCTGCATTCTAGACAGTGAAAAGGCACTTGCTGCCTCAGTGTCTGCTGCATTCTAGACAGTGAAAAGGCACCGGCTGCCTCAGTGTCTGCTGCATTCTAGACAGTGAAAAGGCACCGGCTGTCTCTGCGTCTGCTGCATTCTAGACAGTGAAAAGGCACTTGCTGCCTCAGTGTCTGCTGCATTCTAGACAGTGAAAAGGCACCGGCTGTCTCTGCGTCTGCTGCATTCTAGACAGTGAAAAGGCACCGGCTGTCTCTGCGTCTGCTGCATTCTAGACAGTGAAAAGGCACTTGCTGCCTCAGTGTCTGCTGCATTCTAGACAGTGAAAAGGCACCGGCTGTCTCGGTGTCTGCTGCATTCTAGACAGTGAAAAGGCACCGGCTGTCTCTGCGTCTGCTGCATTCTAGACAGTGAAAAGGCACTTGCTGCCTCAGTGTCTGCTGCATTCTAGACAGTGAAAAGGCACCGGCTGTCTCTGCGTCTGCTGCATTCTAGACAGTGAAAAGGCACTGGCTGTCTCGGTGTCTGCTGCATTCTAGACAGTGAAAAGGCACTGGCTGTCTCTGCGTCTGCTGCATTCTAGACAGTGAAAAGGCACTGGCTGTCTCTGCGTCTGCTGTATTCTAGACAGTGAAAAGGCACTGGCTGTCTCGGTGTCTGCTGCATTCTAGACAGTGAAAAGGCACTGGCTGTCTCTGCGTCTGCTGCATTCTAGACAGTGAAAAGGCACTGGCTGTCTCGGTGTCTGCTGCATTCTAGACAGTGAAAAGGCACTGGCTGTCTCGGTGTCTGCTGCATTCTAGACAGTGAAAAGGCACTTGCTGTCTCGGTGTCTGCTGCATTCTAGACAGTCAAAAGGCACTTGCTGTCTCAGTGTCTGCTGCATTCTAGACAGTGAAAAGGCACTTGCTGTCTCGGTGTCTGCTGCATTCTAGACAGTCAAAAGGCACTTGCTGTCTCGGTGTCTGCTGCATTCTAGACAGTCAAAAGGCACTTGCTGTCTCAGTGTCTGCTGCATTCTAGACAGTCAAAAGGCACTTGCTGTCTCAGTGTCTGCTGCATTCTAGACAGTGAAAAGGCACTTGCTGTCTCGGTGTCTGCTGCATTCTAGACAGTGAAAAGGCACTGGCTGTCTCGGTGTCTGCTGCATTCTAGACAGTGAAAAGGCACTGGCTGTCTCGGTGTCTGCTGCATTCTAGACAGTCAAAAGGCACTTGCTGTCTCAGTGTCTGCTGCATTCTAGACAGTGAAAAGGCACTTGCTGTCTCGGTGTCTGCTGCATTCTAGACAGTCAAAAGGCACTTGCTGTCTCGGTGTCTGCTGCATTCTAGACAGTCAAAAGGCACTTGCTGTCTCAGTGTCTGCTGCATTCTAGACAGTCAAAAGGCACTTGCTGTCTCAGTGTCTGCTGCATTCTAGACAGTGAAAAGGCACTTGCTGTCTCGGTGTCTGCTGCATTCTAGACAGTCAAAAGGCACTTGCTGTCTCGGTGTCTGCTGCATTCTAGACAGTCAAAAGGCACTTGCTGTCTCAGTGTCTGCTGCATTCTAGACAGTGAAAAGGCACTTGCTGCCTCAGTGTCTGCTGCATTCTAGACAGTGAAAAGGCACCGGCTGTCTCTGCGTCTGCTGCATTCTAGACAGTGAAAAGGCACTTGCTGCCTCAGTGTCTGCTGCATTCTAGACAGTGAAAAGGCACTTGCTGCCTCAGTGTCTGCTGCATTCTAGACAGTGAAAAGGCACTGGCTGCCTCAGTGTCTGCTGCATTCTAGACAGTGAAAAGGCACCGGCTGTCTCGGTGTCTGCTGCATTCTAGACAGTGAAAAGGCACCGGCTGTCTCGGTGTCTGCTGCATTCTAGACAGTGAAAAGGCACCGGCTGTCTCTGCGTCTGCTGCATTCTAGACAGTGAAAAGGCACCTGCTGCCTCAGTGTCTGCTGCATTCTAGACAGTGAAAAGGCACTTGCTGTCTCAGTGTCTGCTGCATTCTAGACAGTGAAAAGGCACTTGCTGTCTCGGTGTCTGCTGCATTCTAGACAGTGAAAAGGCACTTGCTGTCTCGGTGTCTGCTGCATTCTAGACAGTGAAAAGGCACTTGCTGCCTCAGTGTCTGCTGCATTCTAGACAGTGAAAAGGCACTTGCTGCCTCAGTGTCTGCTGCATTCTAGACAGTGAAAAGGCACTTGCTGTCTCGGTGTCTGCTGCATTCTAGACAGTGAAAAGGCACTTGCTGCCTCAGTGTCTGCTGCATTCTAGACAGTGAAAAGGCACTTGCTGCCTCAGTGTCTGCTGCATTCTAGACAGTGAAAAGGCACTTGCTGCCTCAGTGTCTGCTGCATTCTAGACAGTGAAAAGGCACTTGCTGCCTCAGTGTCTGCTGCATTCTAGACAGTGAAAAGGCACTTGCTGCCTCAGTGTCTGCTGCATTCTAGACAGTGAAAAGGCACTTGCTGCCTCAGTGTCTGCTGCATTCTAGACAGTGAAAAGGCACCGGCTGTCTCTGCGTCTGCTGCATTCTAGACAGTGAAAAGGCACCGGCTGTCTCGGTGTCTGCTGCATTCTAGACAGTGAAAAGGCACCGGCTGTCTCTGCGTCTGCTGCATTCTAGACAGTGAAAAGGCACCGGCTGTCTCTGCGTCTGCTGCATTCTAGACAGTGAAAAGGCACTGGCTGTCTCTGCGTCTGCTGCATTCTAGACAGTGAAAAGGCACTTGCTGTCTCGGTGTCTGCTGCATTCTAGACAGTCAAAAGGCACTTGCTGTCTCAGTGTCTGCTGCATTCTAGACAGTGAAAAGGCACTTGCTGTCTCGGTGTCTGCTGCATTCTAGACAGTCAAAAGGCACTTGCTGTCTCGGTGTCTGCTGCATTCTAGACAGTCAAAAGGCACTTGCTGTCTCAGTGTCTGCTGCATTCTAGACAGTGAAAAGGCACTGGCTGTCTCAGTGTCTGCTGCATTCTAGACAGTGAAAAGGCTCATAATCTTGTTTATGTGTTTGATTCATCTCCATATCTTACACATTGAACACTTTCCCTGGCACTTGAAAATATTCAAGATAGGGTTGAATGGACCACATATGTAATACATGGTTTTTTACCATCAGTGCACATTCTAATTGACCTTAACCTCCAAGAAGCTGAAAAACCAACACTTCCGTTGGGTCCAGTTCCCAGTAAATGTCACTTTTATGACTTGTCTATAGTGACCTGTTTACAAGATGCATAGCTAATGCTGCTGGCTGAGTTTGCACCTGCGCAAACATTTATGCGGTCAGGATATGAATACGTTAACTAGCATTAGCATTCAGTTGGTTTTAACAGCCAAGCTGGCATTATATTTTCTTATAAGCCTTATTAATAGATGTCCCAGTTCACTTCATGAGTCACCGAACATGTGTCTTATTTAGGCCAGGGATGTAATACATTTATTGTTTCACCATGTTAGTCTTGATTAATTACTCCTTTAATTTATCATTACATATGCTTACACAAATTGCAAATGTCAATTAATACATTTTAAACAAATGCATCAGTGACCTGTATTTCAGTTGATGTTGCTTGTATACATTTTGTTAGTGGAATTCTGAGTCATGACTTTTTTGTGTGTATGTTCCCAAGGTGAAGGGGTTAGTTGATCTGTAAGTTTGAAACAAAATGAAGAATTTTTTTGGTATAAATTATAAACTACAATTGGTTGTCTTCAGTGTTTAGCATTCAATAATCCTGACATCCCAGGATGCCAAGTGCCGGCGCTCTTCCTGCTCCATTTATAACTCCAATTCACAGAGACTGCAATGGAGTACAACTTCCTGTGAATAAAATTGATACCTCGACTCTGATTGGGCTCAGTACTGGTATGTATTTTTTCTAAAAAAATCACTTGTATGTGCCGTGAATATGATTGGGTTCAGTGTGGAAGTGTATTTCTCTCAAAAGTCATAACCTTATTTGTATAGATTTACACTTGAATAGTGATATGGCCAACATGATATCAGTTAGAACAAAGAAGACATAAATAACAGATTGCACACTTTATTGCCTGGCATATATTGCTGATCTCATCAGGTGCTTCCTAAACAATTAAAATAAAGAAATAAATGAATCAATCTAACTTCTTCTTCTTCAGCATTCCGAGCCCTTGAGGTTCATTGCTGCAGATATCACCCACCTCCATTGATCTCTCTGGTTGGCCTTCTCTTTCCAATTGATGAAACCAAGTGTTTGCAGGTCTGATTGGATATTATCTTTCCATTGTCTTCTTGGTCTGCCTCATGGTCTACGACCATTCATCTTCCTCGTGTGTACAGTTTTTACTTCTCTGTCATCTGACATTCTTTCAAAATGCCCCAACCATTTCAGTCTATTACTCTCATGATGCCAGTGATCAGTGGTGATTTAAACATATTATAAATTTTGTTATTGAATCTCACTCTCCATTCACTACCATCTTTGATGGGTCCAAAGATTTGTTGTAAGACTCTGTTTTTGAAAACCTGTAATAAGGCTTCATTTCTTTTAGTTGTGCTCCAAGTTTCAGAGCCATATAAAACGACTGGTCTTATCAACGTTTTATATATTTTGATCTTAGTGTTGTGAGACAGATGCTTTGACTTTAGCAGATGCTGAAGGGCATAGTATACTTTATTTCCAGATTGTATTCTAGATTGTATTTCTTCTCTCAGCATGTTGGAGTAATTGAAGTTTTCAGCCAAGTACTTATATGTTTCTGTTTGTTTGATTTTCATATTATAGACTTGTATGTGGCTGAGGGTTTATATCCTTTCCCTGTCTTGTTATTACCATATATTCTGTCTTATCCTGATTGATAACTAGTCCCATTTTCTGAGCTGATTCCTTTAAGAGAGTCAGTGTTTTAACAGTCTCTAGTTCATTTTCTCCAATGATGTCAATGTCATCAGCATATCCAAGTATTCTTGTAGTTTCACCTATAGTACACTCTTGTTTCAGTTTCCTTATAATTTTCTTCAGGACCAAGTTGAACAGAAGTGGGGACAGCATCACCTTGCTTTAAACCTGATGTTATTTGAAAAGGGTCTGACTTTCTGCCTTTATATATTACTATATTACATGTGTCTTCCATACATAGTTTGGTCATGGTAATTAACTTCTTTGGTATTCCAGAGTCCTTCATAGCATTCATAAACTGTTTCTATGTACGCTATCATATGTCTTTATAAAATCCACAAAAACATTATGTACCCGATGCACCTAAGGCGTGAAAAAAGTATCTGTACTTTTTTTTAAATACATCTTTTCTATATTCCCAATTTTACTCTGCTATTTGACATAAGATGAAAATCTGATCTATTGTTAATCTGTTCTGTTGGAAACCAGCTTGGTAATCTCCCAATATGTCTTCGATGTATGTTTTTAGCCTGTTTAGCAGTACTGCCGATAGTATCTCATAGCTTGTAGATAGTAGTGATATTCCTGTATAATTTTCACATTTATACTTGTCTCCTTTCTTAAAAATGGGTATTAATAAAGACACTTTCCATTCATGGGGTAATTTCTCCGTCTTCCAAACCAGTTTTATTAATTCATATATCTTTACATGTAACGCATGACCACCTTCTTGTATAAGTTCAGCTGCAATTCCATCAGCAACAGTTGCTTTATTATTTTTAAGCCATGTTATGACATACAGTAATTCTTCAAAATCAGGCTCTTCAATATTTGATTCACATGTTAATATCTCTTCTTGTGAATAGGTATTAAGTGGAGTTTCACAGTTTAAATCAATCTTTCACAGTTTAAATCAATCTTTCACAGTTTAAATCAATATAACTGCAACACAAAATTGACTATATTCACAAGTTACTAAAAAATGCATTAAAAATGCATCATCCTTGTTTATAATACAGCTAGAGTTCAAATGAGTTCAATAATAAGCTGCTTTGTGTTTCATAATCTTTCCTGGTGCTAGTTTAGTTGTGTCAGTGATTTAATGTGCAGTTAAAGTGGATCAACTTCATTGCACTGGGTTTGATCCTACAGTATAGGGCTTTGATTCTCTTTACAGAAGAGAGCAAGATCACAAACTCTGTAGCTCCAGTTATGATCCCCGGAGATCTCTGCAAAATATTGCAACTGGGAACTAAGTGACTGATCTCTGCAAAAACTTGCATGTGAGAACTGAATGACATGTCTGATCTCTACAAAAACTTGCATGTGGGAACTGAATGACTTGTCTTATCTCTGCAAAAACTGCATGTGGGAACTGAAGGACTTGTCTGATCTCTGCAAAAACTGCATGTGGGAACTGAATGACTTGTCTGATCTCTGCAAAAACTGCATGTGGGAACTGAATGACATGTCTGATCTCTACAAAAACTGCATGTGGGAACTGAATGACTTGTCTGATCTCTGCAAAAACTTCATGTGGGAACTGAATGACTTGTCCTAAATGAGTAGCTTCTGCACTAACATGTGTTTCATATTTTAAAATGTTATTGCAAAAAATGAATATTTATTCTGTCTGTTTAACTTCACCTGTCATAGATGCTCCAAACTGCAAAATCTACTTCACAACAGATGGTAGTAAACCACTACCTTTTCAACGGAAGATCGGGGGCACGGAAAGAACATTCAAGTATTTTGCACCATTCTGCCTAAAACCTGGGAAGAGAACTTTGAAAGCTGTTTGTGTGTCAAGGTAAATTTACTTTTTATATTTAAAAAAAATTAATAAGGATATAATTATAGTCAAAGTTAAAACAAAAAAATTTAAAAACTGAGATTGAGTAAAACATTAGTGAATAAGATCAAGATCAGGCAGTTGATAGATTCAGCCATAGGAAATAGGCTAAGTTAATAGAAGGCCTGTGCTGAATTGAGGGATAGAGAAGACAAATATTGTTTTGTTGTTTTTTGACCTATGATTTAGTTTTTATAATTATAATGTCCTCTTCTTCCCATTCATTGACTCTGAACTCTGGCAGAAAGTTCTGGTTGGTCATCCACTAATGGACTTTAGTCTTGTTCCAGAGCTTGGGGTTTGCATGCACATCCATTTACAGATCTGGCCTTTTTGTAAACAGACCGTTGGTTCCTTGCCTCTCAGGCAGATGTACTCTGACTTGCAAGGAAACAGCTCTAATAAGTCAATTTTACAACATGCTTGTTAGGGAGGTAGTTGGTCTGTTCTTGTTTTCCCCAAAAGTGGGAGCCCCAGAACCTATACAGGTAGTGATTAGAATGTAAAAGTGAAGGTTCTCTTGTATCAGGTATTTCCTCAATGTTTTTTCAGTCAGGTCTAGTCTGTTGATGAAAATACTGCAGGGCAAGAGACAAAAAGAGAGGACGTCCTAGGAAATACAACATCATATATACTTGCAACGATGTTATGATACAGACTAATGTTGAGCTGAAGAGAGTTGCTGAGAACAGAAGACATTGAAAGACAGCATTAGAAGTCTTCAACTGTGCTCTTTGATGGACTAACTTGATGATAGGTGGATACAGGACATGAAAGACGCATTGGATATGAAAGCACATGGGGCTGGAGAATTGGCTAGAGGTATAGAGACTTCCAAGCCTGCCATGAAGAGAGCAACATTCTGTATAATGATAATGATGATGTACTGTGGCATGGCAACATGAGGTGACCCTGTTCTTTCCTCACGATTAGAAAATTCTTCACAACAGTTGATACATATTTTACATCTGTAAAGCCAAGAAATTATTTACAAAACTTTTGATTTTTCTCCACTTTCTCTTTTACTACTTCAAGTGTCGAGGGAGATACAAGCTTTTCTGGCCACCTCGATCATAGACATATCATAATGTTGTTGAGTTTTTTCTGATGCTATCTTTCCATCTTGTTCTTAATCTCCCTTGTGCTCTTCGTCCTTCTTCTCTTGTAGTGTATACCTTGTGTGGGATTACTTGTGTGGTATGACTTGTGTGGGATTACTTGTGTGGTATGTCTTGTATGGTATGGTGTCACAAGTCTCCAAATGGGCAAACTATTCAATTTGCTGTATTTTTTTTTTTTTTTTTTTTAAATTGGTTCTGTGCTGACTTTTTCTTTTACGACCTCATTCCTGATTTGACCTCTCTTAAAGTTAAAAACGAAAGGTCAGCAATGCTTTTTTCATGCAGTAAGATGCTGGAACCAGTGCCATGCGCAACCCCCCCCCCCACCCACTCCCGCCCCCCCCTGTTTTTTTTCTCTACATCTCCTTACAGCCTGCATAGTTGATCATAGACACACAGGTGAATATTTATACTATAATCTCAGTGAGATTTATATGTACAAGAAGGGGACAGGCAACTTAGTGACACATCTTCCTATGAACCCCAGACACAGGATGTTATGGTAAAAAAATAACAAAATAGTCAAAAGTACCATCACAACCTTCATCCAGGACGATCTTCTGCCTGCACGGGCCAGCTCTCTATTTGTCGAGGACAGTTGTATAAGAAAGCCTAGCCTTCATATGCTTTCCAAGATACATAAACCGGACAACCCAGGTAGACCGATCGTGTCCGCCCGTGCTTCTCCACAGAGCTCATATCCGGGTTCCTCGACTGTATTTTGCAGCCTCTGGTTGTTGACCTCCCGTCTTACATCTAAGATACCAACCATGCTATCTATCTTTCAATCTATCCGGTACACCTCTTCTTCCAGGTACCACATCTTCACCTTAGAGGTTACCTCCCTCTACACCTCTATTCCACATTTGGATGGCCTCCTGGCTTTGCGGTTCTTTCTAGATCAGAGAGTCAGTCTTGCCATGGCCACTGACCCCTTGATTCGTCTGGCTGAGTTTAATGGCCAGTATTTCAACCAGATTAGCGGTGTCGCTATGGGGACCAAGATGGGACCCAGCTATGCCTGCCTCTTCATGGGGCACCTCGAGCACCAGATACGTCATGCATATACCGTTAGGCTCCCCGAGCTCCACAGGAGGTATACTGATGATTGCATCGGTGGCACCGATATGCCCCTACAGGAACTGCAGAACTTCATTAATTTTTTCTCTAACTTTCATCCCAGCACCTAATGCACTTTTAGCATCTCACCTTCGTCGGTGCATTTTCTAGATCTCACTGTCACCGGCAACTCTATAGGCCTTAGCACCTGGGTGTACTACAAGCCTACTGATTCCCACACTTTTATTCTCTACAGGTCTTCCCATCCCTCTTTTTGCAAGGACTCTATTCCGTTCTCCCAACTTCTATGCCTCCGCAGACTATGCCAGAAAAACGACGACTTTCACACCAATCCCTCGAAATGCTGGACTTCTTCCGGCTTCGAGGGTATCCTGAACATGTCCTATCTGCCACCTTTCACTGCGTACTGTCTTTCCATTGTGCCGAAGCTCTTGCTTCCAAGCCGAGAGGTCACAACAACAGACCTATCCTCACCCTCACAACATCCGCCCCAAAATATTTTCCCCAGGCATCTCTCCATCCTTAACGCCGACCCTGCCACCAGCATGATTTTTTCTGAACTTCCTCTAGTGGCCTACAGGCATGGTCGTAACCTCAAGGACATTCTAGTCAAGAGTAGGTTACGTCCCGCGTCTGAGCAACACTTTGGCACGGTCTGTTGCCACAGACCTGAATGCAGAACCTGTCCATATGTGGTCCATGTGGCTAGTCTAGAATTCTCTAACACCACCTTCCACATACATGAAGCATTCTATTGTACCAGTCGCAATGTCATTTATGCCATCAACTGCAAGAGATGTGGCATAAAATACATTGGTGAAACCGGTCTACGGCTGGCCGACAGGTTCAGACAACATCTTTTGGATGTGCAAAATGGTGCTCTGAAACCAGTACCGTTGCACTTCAATTCCCTGGATCACCAAGGTGTCCTCGACATCAAGGTGACAGCCATTAAATCAAGCCATTCCAGCGACAGAGTCCTCAAGTTTCCTGAGAATCGCTTTATTTAAACTCTGGGGACTTTAACACCCTCTGGACTGAATTGCTAAAAGTTTTATTTAAACTCCTAGGGGATTGAACTGCCCTCACAGTTTTATCTCCAACCCCCTAGTTATGGCCCCTGGTACTCCACATGTAGTCATTCTGCTGAGAAACAACCTACCTGGCTGCTTTGAGATACCGGCTAAGTGATTTTGTGTTTCTGTGTAGTATTGCTTCATTTGTATGTGCTAAGGAAGGCTCAATAGCCGCAACGTTCACATTTTATTTGTATTTGTTATTTTGTGAAGCTTGCTTACATAGTAATCGTGATGACGGAGTTAATCCTGACTGTGTTACCAAGGAAATCCACTGTGTCAGACTAAGAAACAGAATGCGAATAGGAACGTGGAATGTGAGAAGTCTGTATGAAGGAAAGCTTAAAGTAGTATGTGATGAGATTGAAAGATTAAATATTCAGATCTTAGGAATTTGTAAACATCGTTGGAGTGGCAAGGGACATTTTATCAATGAATATGGAAGCTTTTTCGTATATTCTGGTAGAGATGTAAGAGGCCAGAGCGGAGTGGCATTTTGTTTAGATAAAACAACAGCAAAAGCTATTATGGGATATAATCCAGTTAGTGATAGAATCCTAACTATCAGACTTAAAGGCCGTCCAAAAAACATAACTTTCATGCAGGTATATGCACCAACTTCAACAGCAGAGGAGGGCGAAATTGAAGATTTTTATGCCATACTGCAAGACACATTAAATAAAATTAATCAGAATGATATAATAATAATAATGGGAGATTTTAATGCTAAAGTAGGTACAGGCAGAGATGAAAATGAGAGACACGTTTTAGGAAAATTTGGATTGGGTAATAGAAATGAAACAGGAGAAAAATTGATTGAATTTTGCATAGAAAATGAATTAACTATAGCTAACACACTTTATAAACAACACCCTAGAAGGCTTTTCACATGGACATCCCCTGACGGTGTTACCAAAAATCAGATAGATTACATTTTAATACAAAGAAGATGGAGATCGAGCATAACATCTGCAAAAAACCCTGCGAAGTGCAGATTGCGATACAGATCATCAGTTACTAGAAGCAGATCTAAAATTAAAACTCAAAAAGCTTACCCGAGGACCAAGGCCATTTCGATTTGATCTCACAAAAATACCAGATGCATACAACGTAGAAGTGAAGAACCGTTTTGAGGTCTTGATGTCTGTACAAGAGGAAATGACACCTGATGAACTGGCGGTACAAGCTAGGGATATCTTGATAACAGCAGCTAAAGACTTAATACCCACCAGGACTAAGCAACATAAACCATGGATCACACCATACACGTTAGAACTAATAAAACAACGAAGAGAACTGAAAAAGAAAGGAGAAACCAATGATAGTAGGATGAAGTATAAATTTTTTACACGAGAAATAAGAAAGTACACAAGAAAGGATAAAAATCAGTATGTACAAGATTGCTGTATTAAAATAGAGCAGCATCACAAAAATGGAAGAGATTACGAAATGTTCAAGGAAATGAAGTTATTGACAAGAAATTTTCAACCTCAGTTAAATGTTATTTGTGACAGGTTGGGAAATACTTTAACAGAATCTAGACAAATTCTAGGAAGATGGCAGGAATACTGCAGCGGAATGTATGATATGAATGACAGTGAGGATATGAATGATATACATGAACCAGTAACAGTAGAGGCAGAACCTGAACCTTCATTAGATGAAATTTCATGGGCAATAAGGAGCCTGAAAAATGGTAAATCACCTGGATGTGATGAGATACCAGCTGAATTGATTAAAGCGGGAGGAGAAGAAAGCATAAAAATCTATCATGCATTATGTGAAAAGATATGGAAATATGGTATTTGGCCAAAAGACTGGAAGAGAACTATCTTCATTCCAATACCAAAAAAAGGGTGACCTGAAATTATGTACAAACTATCGAACTATTGCCCTGATCAGTCATGCAAGTAAAATTCTACTAAAAATTATAATGAGAAGACTGCAAAAGAAAATGGAAGAAGAGATTAATGTAGCTCAGGCTGGATTTAGACAGGGAAGAGGAACAAGAGATCATATATTCAACATGCGTTTAATAATAGAGAAGTGTAGAGAATTTAATGTAAATCTGTTCTTATGTTTTGTGGATTATTCAAAAGCATTTGACTGTGTACAACATCAGAAGCTTTGGGAAATCATGAGGAATATGGGCTTTCCATCACATATAGTGCAGCTCATTAAAATGCTCTATCAAGACCAACAAGCAGCAGTCAGAATAGATGGAGAGACATCAGACTGGTTTGGCATCAAGCAAGGAGTCCGTCAGGGATGTGTGCTGTCACCGTATTTGTTCAACCTGTACGCCGAAAATATAATGAGAAATGTAAGAGATGATATAAACAAGGAACAATATGATGCCCTAAACATCGGTGGTCATGAAATACCAGAAATTCGTTATGCTGATGATACAGTATTACTATCAACATCACAAAATGGTTTAGAAAACTTATTAACCTCACTCCAAAGAAATAGTGAAAATCATAACTTATTTCTTAACACAGCAAAAACAAAGATAATGCATACAAACAAAACAGCCATGGAGAAGGAAATATATGTTAATGAGGAAAGATTGGAAGTGGTGGAAAATTTCGAATATCTTGGGTCACTGGTTACCAACAATGGTGACACAATGAAAGAAATTAAACGGCGACTATCAATTGCTCTTCAAAGACTAAAACAACTGAATAAATTATGGAATTGTACAGATAGAATTACAAAGGTCAGATTTTTAAGAGCATGCATCTTTCCCATTGCAACATACGCCTGTGAGACCTGGACACTTACTAAACAAGCGGAACAGCGCATAAATGCATTTGAATATAAATGTTACAGACAGGTTCTAAGAATATCTTGGGTAAAGAAAAGAACAAATGCTTCCATACTTCAAGAGCTGAATATTGAAGAGGGTTGGCTAGTAAAGACAATAAAACAAAGAAAATTGAAATATTTTGGTCACTTGAAACGTCATGGAGGTCTAGAGAGAACAATAATGGAGGGGTATATGCCTGGGAAGAGAGGAAGAGGAAGGCCAAGGAGAAGATGGGTGCAGGATGTGGCAGATGATCTCCAGATGGGTGTATCAGACGCAGGACATCTTGCTCATGATAGGAAGGTTTTCCGGAGGGTTGTTATGGCAGCGAGGTTCCGCGAGGGACATGCTACTGAATGAATGAATGAATGAATGCTTACATACTTTTCATTCGCTTTTATATCTTTTCTTGATACTGTATTGTCAGAATCCAGTGCCCACTATTGTAACTGTCAGTGTGAATACTTTCAGAGATGGACTTCTGGAAAGTGCAGTTGTATCAAAAGATTTCAATGTTGTGGATTTGGAAAAAAGCGGCACAGTTGAAGGCTATGAGAGTACCAACAGCAACACCACACTCCAGTCCTTCATGGAGGAGTCGTCTGATGGCGAGTACAACCTGAAGCCAGGGAAAGTGAAAGGGGCAGTGATGGTGAGTTGATTTCTGTTGCTTTAGTGATTACTGGGGACTATCATCAAAACATATGGCTGTCAGTCCAGGACAGTTAATCAACTAGCCAAACAATTTCTTGAGGCATCGGAGATGTGGTTTTACAGAAGCATTCTTAGAATTAATTGGACATCCAAAATGAGGAACCCAGATGTTTTTGAGTTGAGTTGAGTCAAGAATTGATGTCACAGCACTCAGGGAATTCCCATGTGTGCTCTGTCCTCATCTTCAGTAGCCAGCACAGATTTTGTAATATGTTTATCTTTCTTTTTTTCCTGAGTGCAGTGAGCTGGTCAGACCCCCTGACTTCGCTTCTGACTCCATTATTTGTTCCCTAGGGCCCTGACCACATTTGCCTTTTCATGTATCAAGTCACCACCCAGTGGTGCAAATCCAGCCAATCTGTCTGCCTGTTCTTTTCCCTGAATGTTTTGAAAGAGTCAAGGGCTCAAAGACCACTTGCCACAAATATCAAAAAGAGACAGTCATCAGTGTTTGCTGATGGAACATGTTAGAACACTGGAAAGATCTGTAGAAGAAGAGAATCAGGAAGACAGTTTGAGAAGATTCTTGACAGTCTTTGTCATGGGATGGAGGGTGTCAGCACACAACTTGATACACACAGCTGTGGATCGCAGATTGCCAGTCGGCAAAGTACTTGATGATAATCGTCATCAAAGCACTTTAAAGAAATCCATAAGTGCTCTGATATCCTCCTCATTAGTGCCATAAGTGTAAAATAACTTATCACTCTCATTCTGTGTTCATTAATCACTCAATCTTCATATCTTATATTGGTTTAAAGGGCCTGTTTGACTGGCAGCCTTTGAGACATAGACTGGCTGCACTTGGCAATCAAAGCCAGACCGTTGTACTTATGTTGTCCTGATGCACTCACTGTTCATGCTTGTCAGTTACAATGATTGGTTGTTTACAAATTTACATTCAGACTTATTTAACCTTTGCTGTTGCCAGAAGTCACAGTCAAGAAAGAGGACTGCTCCAAAAGAAGCTTGGACAGACTCATTTTATCAAGATCCCGCAGCCACTGGAGCATCCAATGAAAGTGAGTCGTTTAAAAACTGTATTTCAACTCTTGAAGAAAATAATAAGCTTTCCTATTTTTGTAGAGCAATTTTTCAGTTGTTTTGGGAATGAAATTATTAAAACTCCTGGTTTAAAATTGTATTTAAGTTAAATATTGTTATGAAAGGAAGAATTATTGATCACTTACCCCCTGAGTAATTGATTATTTATTAAAAATATTTGCCTGCCCCCACACATTGCATTTTATTGATATCTGATGTTCTGACATTACTTCTATCCATTTAATTCTTTCTGTTTTCCATCTTTCCAATCTTCACATATCATGTACCAATCTGTGAGTTAGTTTAATTTATTTAAGTAGCATGATGATGATGATAAAATAACACTTATAGCACATGATGTTTCTAACAGACAATATAATATCATTATAATCCATTAAAACATTATTCTATCGGTCCACTTTGTTGGGGGGGGGGGGGGGGGGGGGGGGTATAATTTACCAGGGATAAATATATTGAGGGTGTCTCAGATCTGACAAGGCAACAGTGGAATAGATTTTATGAAGTGTGGTTTTGCAGATCATTCAAGGCAGCAAATGATTAAGGTTAATGTGGTGCGGTTTTTCAGACCTTGCAAGGCAACAGGAGAACAGGTTTTGTATTGTGCAGTTTCTCAGACCTTGTGAGGTGACAAGGAAATATGTTTTATGTTGTGCAGTTTATAATACCTTGCAAAGCAACAAGGGAACATGTTTTATTTTGTTCAGTTTCTCAGCTGTTGCAAAGCAACAAGGGAACAGGTTTTATTTTGTGCAGTTTCTCAAATGTTGCAAGGCAACAAGGGAACAGGTGTTATGTTGTGCAGTTTCTCAGATATTGCAAGGCAACAAGGGAGGAGGTTTTGTGTTGTGCTCCTGTGTTTCGCAGTAAAAAACAATAATAACTATTACATGTGTATATATGTCACTTTGCTTTTTACCCAGTAGATCAATATCCACCTATTCCTGATGGCCCCTTCAACCCGACCAACTATTCTGGGACTCAGATTAACGTCTGGGGGGCCCCTCCAGGGCTGTGGCAAGGAATGAATGCCAGCAATAGCATGGTGACAATTGGGACAGGGCCGCCAGCTCCACCATATCCAGTTCAGTACGGATTTCTGACGGAGCAGATGATCAAGGTAGTCCAATCTGCAATATACAGTTGATGATTACATCTATAGTTCTGCTATATTAAATTCAGTTTTGTTCCAATTCACCCTCCTCATTTTTTAAATTTCTCTAGAACAGAAAACACAACACCCTGTTTCTCTCAATGAGTGATATTTTATGCATTAAATTAAAAGTAATCATGTGTGTCACTTTATCTCAACTCCTTGTCACAAAATTATCCTCGTTTACATTTGAAGTAACAAAAATCCTATCCTGATAAATAGCCCAATAAAAATCATTGTTCTTTATCACTATTGTTGTCATCATATTTGTAGCACCTACTTTGCATAATATCCCCCCACCCACCATAATGACCGACAGACAGGAAAGACTCCTTCCTTTGCTAGTTCCCGGTCTCTTGCATTTTCCTGCCCACATTTTCCTCCAATATTCCGTGTCCTTCTTCATGCTGGTCATTAACTGTCTTCTTCCCAGGAACCAAGTCTTCTGTTACTGTTCTTTCTAAACTACTGAAACGTTTCATTTTCTAAAACATGATTCCGTATGTGAGCTGTTCCCCCCCCCCCTTTTTTTTTTCCTTTTTTTTTTATCTCGTAGAATGGGAGTTATTTTATTTCTCCTTATCTGTAATATTGTAAGAATTTATCTTGTTGCTTTAGTGATCGTGAAAGGGTCCAAGACTGACATCTGTATGTTGCCACAGAAAAGATGTTCACTTTCATTTGTTTGTTGTTGTTGAACCTTGGGCTTTCAATGCTGTTTAACCTCTGCCATCATATTTCTGCCTTCTACTGAACAGTCTCCTTTGTTATTAATTGTGGAGCCAATTTGTTCACAGTTTCTGACATTTTTTAGTTTTATCTACATTAACTGTAATTATCAGTCGATATGTAGCTTTGATCTCTCTGGACAGTATTATTTTGGTATTGTTAACATTTATAATTTTCACTGAAAATATTCTAATGCTTGAGAAAAAATTATTTGTAATCTCCACAGGGCCTGAAACCCAAAGATGAAGCTCCAAAATCCCAGGGTGTAACGCTGAGTGACATCCGCAAGTTGATGGAGGAGAACACACCCAAGCCTCAGCCTCCAGCCATAGAGTACAAGCCGGTGTGGAAGGATCCACCGCTCAACCCAGTCAGTCCTGGAAATGGTAAACTGTTGGGGAGGTGTCACTGGGCAGGAAGTGATATCACTAGGCAGGATTTTTTAACTGTTATCCATCCACTGACACTTATGATCCTCTTCTACCTTGGGATGTAGAGGTTTGCCAGAGAGATTGCCAGACTTCTCTATCAGCAGTTTTCTTTTTGGCATTGTTCCATCTCAATCCTCTGTCAGCAAGGGACTGTCAGATATTGTCTTACTAGCAAACCCTAGGTTGTCCTGGTGCGGGGTTCGAACACTCAAAGAGATTTTGTTTTTCAAAGTCAGAATGCATTCCATCTGCCTGAGAGGCAAAGAACTGACAGTCTGCAAAAAAGCCAGATCTGTGTAATTGATGTGCATGCAAAACTCAAGTTCTGAAACAAGACAAGAAGTGGACAACCAGAACTTAACTAAAGTTTACAGCTAGTAATCACCAAACAGAAGAAGAGGAAAGAGATTATGTTACAGAGTAATAAGAATATTTATAAATCATTCATGCCTTGGAAGGATTCTACTTCTTCTTGGCGTTCAGTTTCATATGCTCAGACCAGACCATCAGGTGGGATGCCTCTGTGAACTCGAATGTCAGTAGCAGGTCCTTCATGGTTCCCCATAGCTTGCTCTGCTCACTTTGCACTTGAGGCAAGATGTTTTTTTTGAAGTTGTAAGTAGAGTGGGCAGGTCTGCAGAATGTGATCAGGTGTTTGTGGTCCTGTTTGATATGCACACTGTGGGGACTGTACAATCTTTATTTTGTGCGTGTGGTAGTTGAGCCTACATTGTCCTGTTCATAGATGGACAATTGTTGTATGTTGCTTTCTGTTGAGTCTGCTGATGGGGTCTTGTGGATGTTTATTGTAAGTTTGTTTGAACAAAGAAGGCACTAACAATAGATTGCACAATTTATTGCCTGTCATATTTTGCTGTATTTCATCAGGTGTATACTACAGTAACAATTAAATAAATCAACCAAATAAGTGAATCCTTTACAACGGGGAAACATTGCTTTGTTGTTAGTTTATTCTCTCTATAATTCCTTGTATTTTTCTTGATGATTGTTCTGATTTCTGGTAATGACAATAAATGGGTGTGTTGTTTCTCCATTGTTCTATTTTTTGCAAGTCTGTCTGCTAATTCCTTTCCTGGTGTGCCACATTGAGCTGGGATCCACTGGATAACACTCTGATTGTTTTCTGAGAGCCTATTTAGCTTGCGGGTCAGTTCTCTCTCCATGTTGTCTCGTGGATCCCGCTGAGTCGCTTGGAGGACTGACATGCAGTCACAAACGAAAACAGTTTTGCTGTTTTAAATTTTTCTTTCCTCAAGCACTTTCGTTGCATCAATAATTGCTTGCTGCTCTGCTCTGAAGTTTGTTGAAAGTCTTCCGGAGGCACATGGCATTTCTTCTGTGGTCCCATCCTGCAGCATGATGACCGATCCAGCTCCTCCATTTTTTTCTGCTCCCTCTAATGATCCATCGGTGTAAATGTGTGTCCATTCTGGTTTTGGGTTAGAGTTGTAGACATGTTTAAGGGTCTTTGCATGCAGTTCTAGGTCACATTCTTCAGCCTTTCTTTCTTTGCCTGGGATTGTTGTTGTGACTGTATAGTTATGCCTGGATCATTTCCAACATTGAAGGATCTTTAGAAAGGATGTCACTGTTTTTTGCTTAGTACAATTTTGATAGATAGTGAAAGCTTTGTCTTTTCGGTCGGTCTTTAGTTAAGTTGTTTGCTATTCTGTGCATGGGATTTTTGTTCATGCGTTTACATTTTTATGTTAGGATAAGCACCTTTTCTTTCCTTTAAAAGCCTGCAGCTGATTAATTGGTGTGCTTTTCATACATTCAATGATGATTCTGAGACCAATTTTCTGTATTTTGTCCAGTTTGTATAGTTTGATTTGACTGCAGTGGAGTATGTTTCCATGCCATACTTCAATTTTGGTAATACGTTTCCTGTGTATACTTGTCATGCATTGTTGGCACCTGTACCCTAGCTTGTTCCAGGAAGTTTCTTCATAAGTCTCAGTTCCAGGGTAGCTTTCCTTTGGGTGTCCTCAATGTTGGGGCCCCAGGTTAGCAGTATTAACATGGTTAATTTCTTTAATGATTTGTAATTAGCGACAGTGATGATTTTATTTGTACAATAAATTCAATCATTAGAGTAGTCCTTTGAGAGTTGTTATGATCTTGTCTTCTTAGTCATAACCATGAATTATTCTTCTTTCTTTTTCAGATTAAAATTTGTTTAATCTTCTGGTTTTGAAACTACTTCTGCACACACCACACACACACAACACACTACTTCTTTCTTAACCAAATCTGTTTCATTCTCCTACAGATGACTATCAGGGGAATATACTGCACATTTTTGCACACATGTTGAACATGGCCAAATCTAAAAACAGCTTTAAGAGGAACATTGGAGAGTATAGGATGGGAAAGGTTAGTTTGTTTGCTATTTGTTGATGCATACATTTTGCACTTGTCTTGGTTTGTGCATTATATTTGGAAAGCCTGGTGAAGTCAGTAACATAAAGTAACCAAATGTTTATATGTTCTACTTCTTTTTCTCCACTTCTACTTCTTCATACTCACCAACTGTAAACTCTGTTGGAAAGTTCTGGTTGTTGTTCACTTCTGGACTCTAATTTTGTTCCAGAACCTGAGTGTTGCTTGTACATCCATTTCACAGATCTCACTTATTTGTATGTCTCCTTGCCTCTCAGGCAGATGCACTCTGACTTCAAAGGCAGCCCCCAGTTCGTCAACTCTTATGGCCTTCTTTTTTGGGGAGGCAAGGGGTCTCTTTTTGGCTCTCCTTTAAATAACGGTCGCTAGCTGGAAGGCGACGGCCGCATAGTCGGAGTTCACTCCCTTGGCTGCAGTGCAAATACGGAGCGGACAAGTCACGAATCAAAAAACAAACTGAGGTCAACATGCCTGCTAGAGCTAGACCACGCGCTGCAACTGACAGTAGCGACCGCGGTCTTGCCAGGCAAGACTCTCGTAGACCATGCGCTGCGACTCACATTAACGACCGCGTTCTTCCGACGCAAGACTTAGTGACCGTAGATGTGAGACCTGCAGATCTGTATGTCGTAATGAGCGATAAGCTTCCGTCATTTCCGTGATGTGTCACCCTACCCCTAACCCTGCCCCAAACCCTAACCCTACCCCTAATCCTAACCCTACCCCAAACCCTAACCCTACCCCTACCCCTAACCCTAAACCTACCCCAAATCCTAACCCAAACCCTATGCCTAACCCTAGGATGACAGGTAACTATATCATTTGTTTCGTTCCCTCTTTACCACTCCGTATTTGCACTGCAGCCAAGGGAGTGAACTCTGACTAAGCGACCGTTGCCTTTCAGCTAGCGACCGTTATTTAAAGGAGAGCCCTCTTTTTGTTTTCCCCACAAATGGGGTCTGGAACCCAACAGGGAGTTTAAATATTTTCTAGGAAACCTTGTGGATTAAAAAACATACAACTAAACTAAATATTTACAAACCCATTGACACTGGATTACAGATAAGGCCCAAATATAACTGTGCTATATGGCTATATAGTCACATGAGGTTTCTGGAATTTGAACAGGTTTGATTCTCATCGTTGCAATGTTAATCCTACAGACTGCAATCCTCTCTCTCTCTCTCTCTCTCTCTCTCTCTCTCTCTCTCTCTCTTTCTCTCTCTCTCTCTCTCTGTGTGTGTGTGTGTGTGTGTGTGCGTGCGTGCGTGCGTGCGTGCGTGCGAGCGCGCGCCTGCCTGCCTGCCTGTGTGGACAGGAGAGAGGTGGCATGTTCTCATTTATTTCACTTTTCAGTGATAGTATCTTTTACTGACTGTTGCAGACTGGGTATGACTGATGATGGAGATGATGTAGATTTTTACCAGAGACCAAAAGATGCCAAACTCTTCCCAGATTATTGGCTCATGGATTAGATGGAAAGTCTGCTCCAGTAAAGGAAACAAACTAGAGGAATTTTAAAGCAGGACAAACATCCTTTCTTAGTTAGAAAGGAAAAGAGCAGATTGAATTGGCACACAAGTCCTAATTTTTATCCAAGAAGGCTTGATGTCAAATTCACTACTATGGAACAGGTCTAAGATTATCATCCTTGTCTTATTTTGTAAAAACCTTGACCAGCCACACCATGAATTGAACCAAGTTCTATTGAAGCTGAAGGCACTCATCAAACCTCTATGCCATACTGACCTTTACCTGGCAAGAGACCGAAAGTGTTTGTTTTCTGAGGTTTGCATTTTCTCATTTAATTTGCCAGACTCTCACAAGGTCTGTAATACTGCTAATGATTTAATTTAGGTGCGTACATTATTATCCTCATTAAATAATCATTTTAATTTTGTTGTTTGTTCTCTAGATTTTAGAGGCCAAAATGGAGGACGAAGGTGATGGCTATAATCTGAATATTGTGTTTGAAAAACCTGGAACACAGAGTAAGAAAGTTTTTGCTGCAATATGTTTAGCACTCTTACAAACATACAATTAGTATAACTATTTATTTGTGAAAAATATTGAATTTTATTTCGGGCAACAACACATATGAGTATTTTCTCTGTTTCCCTTCTGCAGGAGGTACAACCAAAAAGACGACCCAGTCACCCATCAAAAAGACACCACCTGTGGAAGTGAAACCAAAAACTATGATACCTCCAAAGGAAACCAAACCTAAAGTAGTTCTTCCTCCCCCTCCTGCAGCAGTACTCAAGCCAGTAGAGCCACCAAAGCCAAAACCACAGAAAAAAGCAGATGCCTACTTTGAAAAAGAAATAGAAAATATTCCGGTAGGTTCAAACAAAAATGATAAAAACAGGGCTGACTAAAATCTAGGTTAAAAGAAGAAGCAAATTCTTCTTGCACTTAGTCACTTAAAAACAAATAATCATTTAGTTTAAATTGTTCTTTATTGTTAATTTGAACTGATAATCTGGGAAGTAGCAAACATGGGCCATTCATGTAAAAGAAAGAAGGCAGAAGAATGTGTGGGGCAGTTGGAATATTCTGGACCGTGGAGAGGGAACAGGCCAACTATTCCAGACTCCCAGTGTGTCATTGCTCATTACTTTGTTGATGGCTGAACTACCCCAGTAACTCCTAGTGTGTCATTGCTCATTACTTCATTGATGGCTGAACTACCTCAGTAACTCCCAGTGTGTCATTGCTCATTACTTCATTGATGGCTGAACTACCTCAGTAACTCCCAGTGTGTCATTGCTCATTACTTCTTTGATGTCTGAACTACCTGAGTAACTCCTAGTGTGTCATTGCTCATTACTTCATTGATGGCTGAACTACCTCAGTAACTCCCAGTGTGTCATTGCTCATTACCTCATTGATGGCTGAACTACCTCAGTAACTCCCAGTGTGTCATTGCTCATTACTTCATTAATGGCTGAACTACCTGAGTAACTCCTAGTGTGTCATTGCTCATTACTTCATTAATGGCTGAACTACCTGAGTAACTCCTAGTGTGTCATTGCTCATTACCTCATTGATGGCTGAACTATCTGATTAACTCCCAGTGTGTCATTGCTCATTACTTCATTGATGGCTGAACTACCTCAGTAACTTCCAGTGTGTCATTGCTCATTACTTCATTAATGGCTGAACTACCTGAGTAACTCCTAGTGTGTCATTGCTCATTACCTCATTGATGGCTGAACTACCTCAGTAACTCCCAGTGTGTCATTGCTCATTACTTCATTAATGGCTGAACTACCTGAGTAACTCCTAGTGTGTCATTGCTCATTACCTCATTGATGGCTGAACTACCTCAGTAACTCCCAGTGTGTCATTGCTCATTACTTCATTGATGGCTGAACTATCTGATTAACTCCCAGTGTGTCATTGCTCATTACTTCATTGATGGCTGAACTACCTCAGTAACTCCTAGTGTGTCATTGCTCATTACTTCATTGATGGCTTAACTACCTGAGCACCATTTGGTGTCAGTTGAGAAAGTTTTGGTTGTTCATTCACTTCAAGAACTTGAATATTGCATGCACATCCATTTTACAGATCTGGCTTATTTGTATGCAGACTATTGGTTCCTCACCTCAGGCAGATGTACTCTTGCTTTGACGGAAGCACCCCTAATTAGTCACCCTTTACAACATGTTTGATAGGGAGACAGTTCCCTCCCCCCTCCCCCATAATGGGGCACCAGAACCTACATGGGAAAGGTGGGAAAGGGGGGTGGTAGGGGAATTGTTTGTATGATGATAGTTTCAAGTCTACATTTTCTTTCATTTTTTTCTGGTATTAATTTAATTTCACTGAAGTTCTTAGACTGCTAGGCCAGGTGGCAGTGAATGTCTCAGTTTCTCTGTCATCTCTCTGCCATGAATCTTCAGCATCTAGAGCTATCTGCTGCAGTGAACCTTGAACCTGACAATGTCTATGATCTTCTTGACTGGGACAGATCTGGCATCTTTCATTCTGGTTGTGAGCAGAAGCTTGGTTTCTAGGATCAGTTAAGGCATGACTCCTGTTAGTATTCTCCTGTTTTCTGGCGGAAACACACATTTGCAAGAAATGGTCACATATGAAAGGAGAATGTGTCCTCTTTCCATAATATGTCTAATGTTATCTTACATTTCCAAAAAACACATGGTGTGTTATTGTCTCTTTCTTGTCACTGCTAACCGTCAGTTCAGGTTTTATCACAATTTTATTCACATTTCGTCAGAAACATTCTAAAGAAACCTGGCTCCCCCTATGACTACATTTATTGTGTATGCAGCCACATCCAAGTTTGACCACCTCACCTCACCCCCACACTCACACACACTCACACACACACACACACTGACAGTAGTTATCTCCACTTTAAATAGCTGCTGCCATATCATTTATGAATGAAGGTATGAATGTGATACCATGAGAACTCTTCTAGAGTTCTGAGATTTGTCTGATGTCCTTGATACCATGAGAACTCTTCTAGAGTTCTGAGATTTGTCTGATGTCCTTGATACCATGGGAACTCTTCTAGAGTTCTGAGTTATTTGTCTGATGTTCTTGATACCATGAAAACACTCCTAGAGTTCTGAGTTATTTGTCTGATGTCCTTGATACCATGAGAACACTTCTAGAGTTCTGAGTTATTTGTCTGATGTCTATGATGCCATGAGAACACTTCTAGAGTTCTAAGTTATTTGTCTCATGTCTATGATACCATGAGAACACTTTTAGAGTTCTGAGTTATTTGTCTGATGTCTATGATGCCATGAGAACACTTCTAGAGTTCTAAGTTATTTGTCTGAAGTCCTTGATACCATGAGAACACTTCTAGAGTTCTGAGTTATTTGTCTGATGTCTATGATGCCATGAGAACACTTCTAGAGCTCTGAGTTATTTGTCTGATGTCTATGATGCCATGAGAACACTTGTAGAGTTCTGAGTTATTTGTCTGATGTCTATGATACCATGAGAACACTTCTAGAGTTCTGAGTTATTTGTCTGATGTCTATGATGCCATGAGAACACTTCTAGAGTTCTGAATTATTTGTCTCATGTCTATGATGCCACGAGAACACTTCTAGAGTTCTGAGTTTTTTGTCTGATGTCCTTGATACCATGAGAACACTTCTAGAGTTCTGAGTTATTTGTCTGATGTCTATGATGCCATGAGAACACTTCTAGAGTTCTGAGTTATTTGTCTCATGTCTCTGATGCCATGATAACACTTCTAGAGTTCTGAGTTATTTGTCTGATGTCTATGATGCCATGAGAAGACTTGTAGAGTTCTGAGTTATTTGTCTGATGTCTATGATACCATGAGAACACTTCTAGAGTTCTGAGTTATTTGTCTGATGTCTCTGATGCCATGAGAACACTTCTAGAGTTCTGAGTTATTTGTCTGATGTCTATGATACCATGAGAACATTTCTAGAGTTCTGAGTTATTTGTCTGATGTCTATGATGCCATGAGAACACTTCTAGAGTTCTAAGTTATTTGTCTGATGTCCTTGATACCATGAGAACATTTCTAGAGTTCTGAGTTATTTGTCTCATGTCTATGATACCATGAGAACACTTCTAGAGTTCTGAGTTATTTGTCTGATGTCTATGATGCCATGAGAACACTTCTGGAGTTCTAAGTTATTTGTCTGATGTCCTTGATACCATGAGAACATTTCTAGAGTTCTGAGTTATTTGTCTCATGTCTATGATACCATGAGAACACTTCTAGAGTTCTGAGTTATTTGTCTGATGTCTATGATGCCATGAGAACACTTCTAGAGTTCTAAGTTATTTGTCTGATGTCCTTGATACCATGAGAACACTTCTAGAGTTCTGAGTTATTTGTCTGATGTCCTTGATACCATGAGAACACTTCTAGAGTTCTGAGTTATTTGTCTGATGTCTATGATGCCATGAGAACACTTCTAGAGTTCTAAGTTATTTGTCTAATGTCCTTGATACCATGAGAACACTTCTAGAGTTCTGAGTTATTTGTCTGATGTCCTTGATACCATGAGAACACTTCTAGAGTTCTGAGTTATTTGTCTGATGTCTGTCTTCTTCTTCTTCTTCGATCCTTCTGTCAGAAAACTTATATCAGGAGGCCGGTAGCCTTTATGAAAGCTATCGTGCAATCCATATCCTCTTGTGTACCATACAATTTTGTCTTCAGTGTGGTTGAAACAGGCCAGATTGCGTCTCTGTTGTCAGCATACAGTTGACAGTGTTGGAGCACATGCTCAGCATTTTCAGGTGCCATGCTGCAGGGACACATCTCCGTATTTCCTACACCGACAAATTTGAACATATGTTGACGAAATCTGTTGCGCCCAGTCCTTAGTCTGAATATAATGCACTGTCTCTCTCTAGAGAGGCGATGAAGTGGGTCTTCATGAGAACACTTGTAGAGTTCTGAGTTATTTGTCTGATGTCCTTGATACCATGAGAACACTTCTAGAGTTCTGAGTTATTTGTCTCATGTCTATGATACCATGAGAACACTTCTAGAGTTCTGAGTTATTTGTCTCATGTCTATGATACCATGAGAACACTTCTAGAGTTCTGAGTTATTTGTCTCATGTCTATGATACCATGAGAACACTTCTAGAGTTCTGAGTTATTTGTCTGATGTCCTTGATACCATGAGAACACTTCTAGAGTTCTGAGTTATTTGTCTGATGTCCTTGATACCATGAGAGCACTTGTAGAGTTCTGAGTTATTTGTTTGATGTCCTTGATACCTTGAGAACACTTCTAGAGTTCTGAGTTATTTGTCTCATGTCTATGATACCATGAGAACACTTCTAGAGTTCTGAGTTATTTGTCTGATGTCCTTGATACCATGAGAGCACTTGTAGAGTTCTGAGTTATTTGTTTGATGTCCTTGATACCATGAGAGCACTTGTAGAGTTCTGAGTTATTTGTTTGATGTCCTTGATACCTTGAGAACACTTCTAGAGTTCTGAGTTATTTGTCTCATGTCTATGATACCATGAGAACACTTCTAGAGTTCTGAGTTATTTGTCTGATGTCCTTGATACCATGAGAGCACTTGTAGAGTTCTGAGTTATTTGTTTGATGTCCTTGATACCATGAGAACACTTCTAGAGTTCTAAGTTATTTGTCTGATGTCTATGATGCCATGAGAACACTTCTAGAGTTCTGAGTTATTTGTCTGATGTCCTTGATACCATGAGAACACTTCTAGAGTTCTGAGTTATTTGTCTGATGTCCTTGATACCATGAGAACACTTCTAGAGTTCTGAGTTATTTGTCTCATGTCTCTGATGCCATGAGAACACTCCTAGAGTTCTGAGTTATTTGTCTGATGTCCTTGATTCCATGAGAACACTTCTAGAGTTCTGAGTTATTTGTCTCATGTCTCTGATGCCATGATAACACTTCTAGAGTTCTGAGTTATTTGTCTGATGTCCTTGATACCATGAGAACACTTCTAGAGTTCTGAGTTATTTGTCTGATGCCCTTGATACCATGAGAACACTTGTAGAGTTCTGAGTTATTTGTCTGATGCCCTTATGTGAATCTAGATGTGAACATAAATCTAATCTGCCCTTCTTGTAACTTATTATAACACTAACACATTCTGCTACATTTCTAAATAACTATGTGTGTGTGTTTTGTTTGGTTTTTAAACATTTGTGTTTTATTTGCAACAGTGTGATGGAACTTTGAAACCATTTGAACCATTCAATGCAGAGGCAGACGCAGAAGTTTTACATAATGCTATGAAAGGACTTGGTAAATATTCTACTCATTTTTACACTTTAATATCTCTGAAATGGATATCTGAGACTCAGCCAGGACTCACTGATAATATAGACAAAGATTTGTATGGAGCGCAGTTACCCCATACAGTTTTGTTGTTACTGGACAAATGTGTGCTAAAAACTAAAGTGTTTTCAACCGCTTATTTGATTTGCAAGCTACATGTGAAGTGTGGATTTATATGTAACACAGACAGTAGAAAGATATGCAGAGCTTATTGCAGGTGGGGTAGGTACAGAGGAAGATTGCTATTGGGAAAAACATATTGTTTTACACAGAATTATTGTAGTATTTTGAAATCAGTTCACTGTGAACTCTGGAAACAGTCTGTGCATTATGGAACAGGCATTTAACTCTGGAAAACAAGTAGTGCATTTTGGGAGCAGTCATTATGTTGAAGGAACAAGTAAATGTACTATGAGAACAGTCAATACACAAAAGGGCTATTGCTAGGCAGTACACTCTCTTTGGATACACTTTGTAAAGTGCAGGAACATTCAGTGCAAATAACACTCTGTTAACTGCAAAGGAAGACTGAGCTCTTATGGGTCTTTCTGGAGTATCACTAATACAAGCAAAAGCATCTGAACAAAATTAGCGGGTAAATACAAATTTTATTTTCACTTTGTTTCACTGGTTTTATCCAAAGCGTATTTTCATAGGCACAGATGAAGAGTCCTTGATCAATGTCCTAGCCTACAGGTCTAGTCCACAGCGAGCTGAGATCATCACCACTTACAAGACAATGTTTGGCAAGGTAAGCAAGCCGAGCCATTAGTTTCTGATACTTTTATATTGGAAGCTGTGATAGGGTAGCAACTAGATGCTCACACACTGGCCAAAAGGCTTGGGTTCAAATCTACATTGAGTCTGGTTTTCTTTTCAATAATGCCTGGCTCACATGTTATTCTTGCTGAAAGGGGTACTATGTGTTCTTCGTGCTTGGTGACTGTAGTCTCCAGCATAAGGTTCTAATTATTTGTCCACTTCTGGACCTTAGTCTTGTTCCAGAACTTGAGATCTGAGTGCACATCCATTTTCCAGATCTGGCTTACTTGTAACAGACTGTTGGTTCCTTGCCTCGCAGACAGATGCACTGCAACTTCAAATGAAATCTCTAATTGGCCAACTCTTATGACATGCTTTAGCAGCATCAAAAGGGAGATTACTAGAAATGTTTTGAGAGGTTGTCATTGGATTATATTCACATTATTGTATAAATGTGTAGGAAAAATAAAACCTACATCAGGATCTTGGAACTGGTAACCCCTAGAGATGCAGATTTTAGAAACCATGAAGTGGGGGTGGGGGAGGGGGGGTGGGCAATGAAACAGACCCATCTGTCCCTATACTGCCACACTAATGCCCCTACTCATCTGTGTGTGAAATGTAATATTAATCTGTAGCAGATGCAGAAGTCACTGCATTAAAAGTCTAACATGCAAAAGAAGCAAAGTACTCATCTTCTGTAGGTCACCAAAGTCCCAGGTCTGCAGGCTGTCTACTGCTGGCTTCTAAAGGTATAGCCCATGATAATTGAGATGTTCCATTTACAAAAGTGAGGTTAAACAGTAATGAGCAGGACGTGATGATTCCTTAGGTAAGCACAGTACCAGAGCACTGTGTATTGGCTCTGCATTTCTTTTTCTTCTTCTTCGCGTTCACCAGCTGTACACTCTGGCGGAAAGTTCTGGTTGCTCGTCCACTACTGAACTGCAGTCCTGCTCCAGAACCTGAGTGTTGCGTGTGCATCAGTTATACAGATCTCATTCTCTTGAATACAGACTGTTGGTTCCTTGCCTCTCCGGCAGATGCACTCCGACTTCAAAGGAAGCTCCTCAATTAGTCGACTCTTACGACATGCTTTTGGGGAGGCAGTGGGTCTATTCTTGTTTTCCCCACAATGGGGCCCCGGAACCCACACGGGGGAGGGGGGGGGGTTTAGGAAGCCACCTTGGATGGCAGGAAGTGCTCATGTTCTGCCCCTTGGCTTATCTTGAGGGCTGATCAGCATTATGTGGCTTCTCTGGATTGGCCTCATATGGGGCACCATCTGTGACCTAGAAAACAAAGAGGACCACACAACAAAGAGACTGCAGTGTCCCACAAAACTTACCACGAAGAATAACCCGGTCAACAAATGGCTGCATAAGTCCAATGTGTCAGCTGAAAGGTGCAAATATCGCAACCATGCTACAAATGGGCACAACACAATTACGTTTTTGTATGAATGCAGAAAAAAAAAAATGAAAAGAAGAAGATTATGTATGAAGTTTGAGTTTCCCATAGCACTCAGGTATAATCTTCTTCTCCAGCATCAGCTCTTAACTCTTTGAGTCCCGTGGTTTTTTTCATCAGGGGCCCAAGGGGTGGTAAGGTAATTTTGTAGTTTCACAAGTGTAACACATTAAAACAGACTATACTAATTCAACTGCAGCAAAACAAACACATATTATACATCAAAGTGACAGGGATTGTTGAGGAATAATAAAAGAATACTGCTACAACAAAAAAATTGCGTTAGTAGTTAAATATTAGTAAATAAACTTATGGTATGTTTAGAGAAATTAGTAAAATGAAATAAATGTTACGCTTACCACCCCAGAACTCTAGGAACACTTGATAAAATAATTCCAAAAGTAATCACAAATGAACATGAACCACTAAGTAATGTATAAATACAATTTAAACACAGTCTGTCCATTAGATCTCATTGAACATCATAAATGAGCATTATTTATTTGTTTAGAGAAACAAAAAAGCTGCCAAAAGCAGTTCATATTTTCACCCCAAAAAAAACGAACTTTATATAACACCCAGTTTGCCCACAATTTTATAGCCCATGTTCCTTAATAATAGGGAAATTACATTAGACCATTTTCACTAATATTTATTCTCTTTGTACCAGCTGACTTTGTTATCGTTGTACTCTTTGCATGACGTATATTTTAGAGCTGTCTCTCATCAAAAGTTTGACTCTATCAATGACTGAAATAAGTCTACTTTGTAACTTTCTCTGTCTAGCTTTGGATAAATCTGATAAACACTTGTTTTATTTAAATATGAGGCTTCTAAAGTTGAAGAAGTCTGCTCAGAGGCCATATTGTTTTCGCACAGACACATAGTAACTATAAATAGTAACTTATTAAAGCTCACAAACATTCTCATTTTATTTTTTTTACCATGTTTCCTCATAAGCCAAATGGTCAACACATGTGACATCCAATACAAAGAACAGGAAAGACCACTGCCGGTTTGCGTTGTTATACTAGCCAGTAGTCAATTAAAAACCAGTAGACGTCACTTGCCGATTGGACGGCTGAGTAGTAACCGATTAGCTCATGATGCATTACTTAGGACTCAAAGAGTTTAATAAGCAGTTGGCATGTTTTGTTGTGGTTTACAGCAAGGTTGTGAAATCTGAGTCTTTTGGCCCAACTCATATACTTTCAACAAACTAGTAATTAATCACCTTTAAAGACATGCTTAGGGGGTGGGGGGGGGGGGGGGGGGGGGGGGGTGTCGCGGCTGCCTGTAATTACCACTTTGTGTGTGGTGTAAGTGGAGGGGGGTGGAGGGGTATTTGAGCCTGAGGATTTAAGGTCACATGGATAGTTCTGTTGCCATGGACTGTGCAGGTTAGAATTTTATTTCTGCTTCCGAAAGAAAAAACACACGAGAATGAGACTATGCCTGTTTCCCCAAAATTGGCGTCCTTAAATCCATATAGGTTAGTGTAATCAAATGCAGTGATGATAATAATATGTCTTTTCTTTGATTTAATCACACAGGATCTAGTTAGTGACATAAAGTCGGAGACTAGTGGAAATTTCTGCGAGGCTCTGAAAGGGCTATGCCTGAAACCAGCAGAGTTTGATGCCTTCATGCTGAAGAATGCAATTAAGGTAGAAACCAACTTTTCTGTGTAGTCTTCATAGAATAATAGATGTTACAGAATGTGACACTAAAAGTATCATAAATTATTGCATATTATATAGAATCAGTTTTAACATATGGCTGTGGATCCTGCACAATTAATATATATATACACACACACACGCACAAATGCACACATGCACACACACAGTGTGCACACACACAGACACAGCGCACATGCACACACTAACAGAATCCATTGAGGTGGAGAAGAGTGCTTAAAATTACATGAACAGCCAAAATGGGTCACCTACATTTTGTAAATATGGATAAGAAGCAAAAAAAACTTAGAGCAAATATAGGAAACAATCAGGGAAATCCTGGCTCATGTTGTGACAGAAAGATTTATCAGAAGAGAGAAAAGACAATGAAAGAAGATTTTCAAGACACTTCTTTCATGGCTTGAAAATGTGCTAGCACACATATTGATTATCCCTTATAGATTGCAAGTTATAGATATCAAGAAAAGATAAAAACTGAATGAAAGAAAAGTATATCAGCAAGCTTTACACAAGATATACAATATACAAGATACAGAGATGTATGATTGCCTGTGGCAGCCAGAAAGGTACTATATATATATATATGGAACTGTTTCTGTATTCTCACCTACTGCAGTGACTATTTACACTCATTCTTGGCTCCAGTCACTTGCAGTCTCCTCAACCGTACACTGATGCATAGCTGAATAGGTGAATAATGGATGATAAGAATGACACGACTCGTTGACACCGTTTATTGTTCATACAACAGCGAATTCCTCTGCAAGTTTATGTCGAGGCTTAAACATAATTTAGGTCAGGGCTATTCAACTAAGCTGACTCAAGGGCCACAATTTTGAAAATGGGGATCGTCAGGGGCCAGAGGCTTGAGCCCCAGCATCGAAAGATCACTAAAACAGCATAACTGCCAGTGATCGGTGTGCCACTTCTTAGACCTCCACGGCCAGATTTTGTCTGCGGGCTGCTGGTTGAAAAACCCTGGTCTAGGTGATCACTAACAGCAATACATCAAATAGAATAATGTCACCTTCATAGAAAAACACACATGTACATACACACGACAACTTCAAATGACAGCTTCCCTTGACATTTACCTTCAGCTTTGACTACACAAGTCAGACCAAACCGATCGTCAGGTTGGGCATGAGAACTAGCAGCCTGATCTAATGTAAGCCGTCAGTTATACTTGAATCATTCCGCAAACACTTTCTCTGATCCAACAAACACACTGGTCCTGAACCCAAATGACACTGCTTGCTCTAGATCTTTCCAGGCATTAAATAATCTTTCTTACCCATGCTTCAGATTGATCCACTTGTGATTTTTATGTTTTCTCATCTCACACAGGTTAAGCAATTTGCTAGTTTGGCTAACATTTTCCCATGCGCCTCAATTTGCCCTTGATAAATTCAAAAATCTCATTTATAATTACTATCTGATATCATTCCTACTGTGAACATAATTATCAAGAAGAAAATGTTTCACTACACCTACCTTGTGGGTTCCATGCTAAGCCTTGTCTTGTGAGGCTAGATGATAACTCCCACAGAGTGTTCTACTGATGTTGCTCATGGGTGACAGTATATATGTGTGCTCATGTGTGACAGTATATATATGTGTGCTCATGTGTGACAGTATATATATGTGTGTGCTCATGTGTGACAGTATATATATATATATGTGTGTGCTCATGTGTGACAGTATATATGTGTGTGCTCATGTGTGACAGTATATGTGTGCTCATGTGTGACAGTATATGTGGGCTCATGTGTGACAGTATATATATGTGTGCTCATGTGTGACAGTATATATATGTGTGCTCATGTGTGACAGTATATGTGTGCTCATGTGTGACAGTATATGTGGGCTCATGTGTGACAGTATATATATGTGTGCTCATGTGTGACAGTATATATATGTGTGCTCATGTGTGACAGTATATGTGTGTTCATGTGTGACAGTATATGTGGGCTCATGTGTGACAGTATATATATGTGTGCTCATGTGTGACAGTATATATATGTGTGCTCATGTGTGACAGTATATATGTGTGCTCATGTGTGACAGTATATGTGTGCTCATGTGTGACAGTATATGTGGGCTCATGTGTGACAGTATATATATGTGTGCTCATGTGTGACAGTATATATATGTGTGCTCATGTGTGACAGTATATATATGTGTGCTCATGTGTGACAGTATATATATGTGTGCTCATGTGTGACAGTATATATGTGTGTGCTCATGTGTGACAGTATATGTGTGCTCATGTGTGACAGTATATGTGTGCTCATGTGTGACAGTATATGTGGGCTCATGTGTGACAGTATATATATGTGTGCTCATGTGTGACAGTATATATATGTGTGCTCATGTGTGACAGTATATATATGTGTGCTCATGTGTGACAGTATATATATGTGTGCTCATGTGTGACAGTATATATGTGTGTGCTCATGTGTGACAGTATATATATATGTGTGCTCAAGTGTGGCAGTATATATATGTGTGCTCATGTGTGACAGTATATATATAGTGTGTGCTCATGTGTGACAGTATATGTGTGTGTGCTCATGTGTGACAGTATATGTGTGCTCATGTGTGACAGTATATGTGTGCTCATGTGTGACAGTATATGTGGGCTCATGTGTGACAGTATATATATATATGTGTGCTCATGTGTGACAGTATATATATGTGTGCTCATGTGTGACAGTATATATATGTGTGCTCATGTGTGACAGTATATATATATGTGTGCTCATGTGTGACAGTATATATGTGTGTGTGCTCAAGTGTGGCAGTATATATATATGTGTGCTCATGTGTGGCAGTATATATATGTGTGCTCATGTGTGACAGTATATGTGTGTGTGCTCATGTGTGGCAGTATATGTGTGTGTGCTCATGTGTGACAGTATATTTGTGTGTGCTCATGTGTGACAGTATATGTGTGTGTGCTCATATGTGACAGTATATATGTGTGCTCAAGTGTGGCAGTATATGTGTGTGTGCTCATGTGTGACAGTATATATATGTGTGCTCATGTGTGACAGTATATATGTGTGTGCTCATGTGTGACAGTATATATATGTGTGCTCAAGTGTGGCAGTATATATATGTGTGCTCATGTGTGACAGTATATATATGTGTGCTCATGTGTGACAGTATATGTGTGTGTGCTCATGTGTGACAGTATATATGTGTGGGCTCATGTGTGACAGTATATATGTGTGCTCAAGTGTGACAGTATATATATGTGTGCTCAAGTGTGGCAGTATATGTGGGCTCATGTGTGACAGTATATATGTTTGCTCATGTGTGGCAGTATTATATGTGTGCTCATGTGTGCTCATGTGTGCTCATGTGTGACAGTATATATATATGTGTGCTCAAGTGTGGCAGTATATATATGTGTGCTCAAGTGTGGCAGTATATGTGGGCTCATGTGTGACAGTATATATGTTTGCTCATGTGTGGCAGTATTATATGTGTGCTCATGTGTGACAGTATATATGTTTGTTCATGTGTGACAGTATATATATGTGTGCTCATGTGTGACAGTATATATATGTGTGCTCAAGTGTGGCAGTATATGTGGGCTAATGTGTGACAGTATATATGTTTGCTCATGTGTGGCAGTATTATATGTGTGCTCATGTGTGACAGTATATATGTTTGTTCATGTGTGACAGTATATATATATGTGCTCATGTGTGACAGTATATGTGTGTGCTCATGTGTGACAGTATTATATGTGTGCCCATGTGTGACAGTATATATGTATGCCCATGTGTGACAGTATATATGTGTGTGCTCATGTGTGACAGTATATATGTGTGTGCTCATGAGTGACAGTATATATGTGTGTGCTCATGTGTGACAGTTTATATGTTTGCTCATGTGTGACAGTAGGTATGTGTGCTCATGTGCGACCGTATACATGTGTGTGCTCATGTGTGAAAGTATATATATGTGTGTACCCATGTGTGATAGTATATATGTGTGTGCTCATGTTTGTCAGTATATATGTGTGCTCATGTGTGACAGTATATATGTGTGTGCTCATGTGTGACAGTATATTTATGTGTGTGCTAATGTGTGACTTTATATATGTATGTGTGCTCATGTGTGACAGTATATATGTGTGTGCTCATGTGTGACAGTATATATGTGTGCTCACATGTGACAGTTTATATATGTGTGCTCATGTGTGACAGTATATATGTGTGTGCTCACGTGTGACAGTATATAAGTGTGTGCTCATGTGTGACAGTATATATGTGTGCTCACATGTGACAGTATATATATGTGTGCTTACATGTGACAGTATATATGTGTATGCTCATGTGTGACAGTATATATGTGTGCTCATGTGTGACAGTATATATGTGTGCTAATATGTGACAGTGTATATGTGTGTTCATGTATGACAGTATATATGTGTGCGCTTATGTGTGACAGTATATGTGTGTGCTAATATGTGACAGTATATATTGTGCTCATGTGTGACAGTATATATGTGTGCTCATGTGTGACAGTAAATGTGTGTGCTCATGTGTGACAGTATATGTGTGTGCTTATATGTGACAGTATATATGTGTGCTCATGTGTGACAGTATTATATGTGTGCTCATGTGTGACAGTATATATGTTTGCTCATGTGTGACAGTATATATGTGTGCTCATGTGTGAAGTATATATGCTTGCTCATGTGTGACAGTATATATGTGTGCTCATGTGTGACAGTTTATATGTTTGCTCATGTGTGACAGTAGATATGTGTGCTCATGTGTGACAGTTTATGTGTGCTCATGTGTGACAGTATATGTGGGCTCATGTGTGACAGTATATATATGTGTGCTCATGTGTGACAGTATATATATGTGTGCTCATGTGTGACAGTATATATATGTGTGCTCATGTGTGACAGTATATATATGTGTGCTCATGTGTGACAGTATATATGTGTGTGCTCATGTGTGACAGTATATATATATGTGCTCATGTGTGACAGTATATATGTGTGTGCTCATGTGTGACAGTATATATGTGTGCTCACATGTGACAGTTTATATATGTGTGCTCATGTGTGACAGTATATATGTGTGTGCTCACGTGTGACAGTATATATGTGTGTGCTCATGTGTGACAGTATATATGTGTGCTCACATGTGACAGTATATATATGTGTGCTTACATGTGACAGTATATATGTGTATGCTCATGTGTGACAGTATATATGTGTGCTCATGTGTGACAGTATATATGTGTGCTAATATGTGACAGTGTATATGTGTGTTCATGTATGACAGTATATATGTGTGCGCTTATGTGTGACAGTATATGTGTGTGCTAATATGTGACAGTATATATTGTGCTCATGTGTGACAGTATATATGTGTGCTCATGTGTGACAGTAAATGTGTGTGCTCATGTGTGACAGTATATGTGTGTGCTTATATGTGACAGTATATATGTGTGCTCATGTGTGACAGTATTATATGTGTGCTCATGTGTGACAGTATATATGTTTGCTCATGTGTGACAGTATATATGTGTGCTCATGTGTGAAGTATATATGCTTGCTCATGTGTGACAGTATATATGTGTGCTCATGTGTGACAGTTTATATGTTTGCTCATGTGTGACAGTAGATATGTGTGCTCATGTGTGACAGTATATGTGTGCTCATGTGTGACAGTATATGTGGGCTCATGTGTGACAGTATATATATGTGTGCTCATGTGTGACAGTATATATATGTGTGCTCATGTGTGACAGTATATATATGTGTGCTCATGTGTGACAGTATATATATGTGTGCTCATGTGTGACAGTATATATGTGTGTGCTCATGTGTGACAGTATATATATATGTGTGCTCAAGTGTGGCAGTATATATATGTGTGCTCATGTGTGACAGTATATATATGTGTGCTCATGTGTGACAGTATATGTGTGTGTGCTCATGTGTGACAGTATATGTGTGCTCATGTGTGACAGTATATGTGTGCTCATGTGTGACAGTATATGTGGGCTCATGTGTGACAGTATATATATATATATGTGTGCTCATGTGTGACAGTATATATATGTGTGCTCATGTGTGACAGTATATATATGTGTGCTCATGTGTGACAGTATATATATATGTGTGCTCATGTGTGACAGTATATATGTGTGTGTGCTCAAGTGTGGCAGTATATATATGTGTGCTCATGTGTGGCAGTATATATATGTGTGCTCATGTGTGACAGTATATGTGTGTGTGCTCATGTGTGGCAGTATATGTGTGTGTGCTCATGTGTGACAGTATATTTGTGTGTGCTCATGTGTGACTGTATATGTGTGTGTGCTCATATGTGACAGTATATATGTGTGCTCAAGTGTGGCAGTATATGTGTGTGTGCTCATGTGTGACAGTATATATATGTGTGCTCATGTGTGACAGTATATATGTGTGTGCTCATGTGTGACAGTATATATATGTGTGCTCAAGTGTGGCAGTATATATATGTGTGCTCATGTGTGACAGTATATATATGTGTGCTCATGTGTGACAGTATATGTGTGTGTGCTCATGTGTGACAGTATATATGTGTGGGCTCATGTGTGACAGTATATATGTGTGCTCAAGTGTGACAGTATATATATGTGTGCTCAAGTGTGGCAGTATATGTGGGCTCATGTGTGACAGTATATATGTTTGCTCATGTGTGGCAGTATTATATGTGTGCTCATGTGTGCTCATGTGTGCTCATGTGTGACAGTATATATATGTGTGCTCAAGTGTGGCAGTATATATATGTGTGCTCAAGTGTGGCAGTATATGTGGGCTCATGTGTGACAGTATATATGTTTGCTCATGTGTGGCAGTATTATATGTGTGCTCATGTGTGACAGTATATATGTTTGTTCATGTGTGACAGTATATATATGTGTGCTCATGTGTGACAGTATATATATGTGTGCTCAAGTGTGGCAGTATATGTGGGCTAATGTGTGACAGTATATATGTTTGCTCATGTGTGGCAGTATTATATGTGTGCTCATGTGTGACAGTATATATGTTTGTTCATGTGTGACAGTATATATATGTGCTCATGTGTGACAGTATATGTGTGTGCTCATGTGTGACAGTATTATATGTGTGCCCATGTGTGACAGTATATATGTATGCCCATGTGTGACAGTATATATGTGTGTGCTCATGTGTGACAGTATATATGTGTGTGCTCATGAGTGACAGTATATATGTGTGTGCTCATGTGTGACAGTTTATATGTTTGCTCATGTGTGACAGTAGGTATGTGTGCTCATGTGCGACCGTATACATGTGTGTGCTCATGTGTGAAAGTATATATATGTGTGTACCCATGTGTGATAGTATATATGTGTGTGCTCATGTGTGTCAGTATATATGTGTGCTCATGTGTGACAGTATATATGTGTGTGCTCATGTGTGACAGTATATTTATGTGTGTGCTAATGTGTGACTTTATATATGTATGTGTTCTCATGTGTGACAGTATATATGTGTGTGCTCATGTGTGACAGTATATATGTGTGCTCACATGTGACAGTTTATATATGTGTGCTCATGTGTGACAGTATATATGTGTGTGCTCACGTGTGACAGTATATATGTGTGTGCTCATGTGTGACAGTATATATGTGTGCTCACATGTGACAGTATATATATGTGTGCTTACATGTGACAGTATATATGTGTGTGCTCATGTGTGACAGTATATATGTGTGCTCATGTGTGACAGTATATATGTGTGCTAATATGTGACAGTGTATATGTGTGTTCATGTATGACAGTATATATGTGTGCGCTTATGTGTGACAGTATATGTGTGTGCTAATATGTGACAGTATATATTGTGCTCATGTGTGACAGTATATATGTGTGCTCATGTGTGATAGTAAATGTGTGTGCTCATGTGTGACAGTATATGTGTGTGCTTATATGTGACAGTATATATGTGTGCTCATGTGTGACAGTATTATATGTGTGCTCATGTGTGACAGTATATATGTTTGCTCATGTGTGACAGTATATATGTGTGCTCATGTGTGAAGTATATATGCTTGCTCATGTGTGACAGTATATATGTGTGCTCATGTGTGACAGTTTATATGTTTGCTCATGTGTGACAGTAGATATGTGTGCTCATGTGTGACAGTATATGTGGGCTCATGTGTGACAGTATATATATGTGTGCTCATGTGTGACAGTTTATATGTTTGCTCATGTGTGACAGTAGATATGTGTGCTCATGTGTGAGAGTATATATGTGTGTGCTTATGTGTGAAAGTATATATATATGTGTGTGCCCATGTGTGATAGTATATATGTTTGTGCTAATGTGTGACATGATATATGTGTGTGCTCATGTGTGACAGTATATATGTGTGTGCTCATGTGTGACAGTATATTTATGTGTGTGCTAATGTGTAACTTTATATATGTATGTGTGCTCATGTGTGACAGTATATATGTGTGCTCATGTGTGACAGTGTATATGTGTGCTCACATGTTACAGTATATATATATGTGCTCATGTGTGACAGTATATATGTGTGTGCTCACATGTGATAGCATATGTGTGTGTGTTCATGTGTGACAGTATATATGTGTGCTCACATGTGACAGTATATATGTGTGTGCTTACATGTGACAGTATATATGTGTGTGCTCATGTGTGACAGTATATATGTGTGCTCATGTGTGACAGTATATATGTGTGCTCACGAGTGACAGTATATATGTGTGCTCATGTGTGACAGTATATGTGTGTGCTCATGTGTGACAGTATATGTGTGTGCTTATATGTGACAGTATATATGTGTGCTCATGTGTGACAGTTAATATGTGTGCTAATATATGACATATATATATGTTTTCTCATGTGTGACAGTTTATATGTGGGCTCATGTGTGACAGATGTTGATTTCTGTTTCATTTTCAGGGTCTGGGCACAGATGAAGATGTCTTGATTGAGATTTTGTGCACACGATCAAATGCTCAGATACAAGAAATCAAGAAAGTCTATCAGGAAAGTAAGCATTGAGACATATGCAGTGAAATACTTACATCTCATCCCAGAACACAATAAAATACTTACATCTCATCCCAGAACACAATAAAATACTTACATCTCATCCCAGAACACAATAAAATACTTACATCTCATCTCAGAACACAATGAAATACTTACATCTCATCTCAGAACACAATGAAATACCTACATCACATCCAAGAACACAATGAAATACTTACATCTCATCCCAGAACACAAAGAAATACTTACATCTCATCCCAGAACACAATGAAATACTTACATCTCATTGCAGAACACAATAAAATACTTACATCTCATCCCAGAACACAATAAAATACTTACATCTCATCCCAGAACACAATGAAATACTTACATCTCATCCCAGAACACAATGAAATACTTACATCTCATCCCAGAACACAATGAAATACTTACATCTCATCCCAGAACACAATGAAATACATCTCATCCCAGAACACAATGAAATACATCTCATCCCAGAACACAATGAAATACATCTCATCCCAGAACACAATGAAATACTTACATCTCATCCCAGAACACAATGAAATACTTACATCTCATCCCAGAACACAATGAAATACATCTCATCCCAGAACACAATGAAATACTTACATCTCATCCCAGAACACAATGAAATACTTACATCTCATCCCAGAACACAATGAAATACATCTCATCCCAGAACACAATGAAATACTTACATCTCATCCCAGAACACAATGAAATACATCTCATCCCAGAACACAATGAAATACTTACATCTCATCCCAGAACACAATGAAATACATCTCATCCCAGAACACAATGAAATACATCTCATCCCAGAACACAATGAAATACTTACATCTCATCCCAGAACACAATGAAATACTTACATCTCATCCCAGAACACAATGAAATACATCTCATCCCAGAACACAATGAAATACATCTCATCCCAGAACACAATGAAATACTTACATCTCATCCCAGAACACAATGAAATACATCTCATCCCAGAACACAATGAAATACTTACATCTCATCCCAGAACACAATGAAATACTTACATCTCATCCCAGAACACAATGAAATACATCTCATCCCAGAACACAATGAAATACTTACATCTCATCCCAGAACACAATGAAATACATCTCATCCCAGAACACAATGAAATACATCTCATCCCAGAACACAATGAAATACCTACATCACATCCAAGAACACAATGAAATACATATAATCACAATAATAATGATATATGTGAGCTATTCTTATAATGAGATGTTATATTATCTTTCAGGTTTGATCTGATATGCTGAAAACATCTGACTAGTTTTAATGTAAAACACAGTATATTTTGCACAACTTTTATTATAGTTGCCTGTTTAAATGTGCCGTACTCATACACCTTTCATTATAGTTGCCTGTTTAAATGTGCCGTACTCATACACCTTTCATTATAGTTGCCTGTTTAAATGTGCCGTACTCATTCACCTTTCATTACAGTTGCCTGTTTAAATGTGCCGTACTCATACACCTTTCATTATAGTTGCCTGTTTAAATGTGCCGTACTCATACACATTTCATTATATTTGCTTGTTTAAATGTGCCATACTCATACACCTTTCATTATAGTTGCCTGTTTAAATGTGCCGTACTCATTCACCTTTCATTATAGTTGCTTGTTTAAATGTGCCGTACTCATACACCTTTCATTATAATTGCCTGTTTAAATGTGCCGTACTCATACACATTTCATTATAGTTGCCTGTTTAAATGTGCCGTACTCATACACCTTTCATTATAGTTGCCTGTTTAAATGTGCCGTACTCATACACATTTCATTATAGTTGCCTGTTTAAATGTGCCGTACTCATTGACATTTCATTATAGTTGCCTATTTAAATGTGCCGTACTCATACACCTTTCATTACAGTTGCCTGTTTAACCGTGCCGTACTCATTCACCTTTTTTTACAGTTGCCTGTTTAAATGTGCCGTACTCATTCACCTTTAATCACAGTTGCCTGTTTAACCTTGCCGTACTCATTCACCTTTCATTATAGTTGCCTGTTTATATGTGTTGTACTCATTCACCTTTCATTACAGTGCTTACCCACACAAGGCTGCCTGTTACCCCTGGTTGGTGTAGCCATTACAGATGCACTCATTATAACTTCTTTTGAGATGGAATGAGGTATCTGGGATCTTTCTTGTTGGTCTCCGTCTAGATTCAGACTGTTTTATCTCAGGATGGTATGATTAACCTTTCGGTTGCTGCCCAGAGAGGAGAAACCAATTGATTGATTGATTCTTTCATTGTAATGGTCCACCTTCATAAGATCTGTTAAAGTCTGAATAGAGCTTTCACTAATAAAGAAGTGCTCTAGAGAAGACAGATATTTACTGTCACCCTATACAGATGATCACAGTATGCACTGAGTCTACAAAGCAATATAACAACCGGCTGCACAAGAATCTCATCACTTATCTTTTTCTTCATCTTCCTTTCACCTTCCAATGGAATTAGAGGCCTAATCTACCTATGCCATTTCATTGGTAGATTTGTTCATGGTAGTTTCCATTTTTCAGTCATGTTTTTATGTGACATGAGGTAGCCAGTTTTGTGCAGACTTTTCATGGTCACTTCCTACATTATGCCAGGTTGGACAATGTTACGATTCATGGTTTCCCTAATGTGCGTAATTGAGCATTTAAACTAAATTGTAATAAATTATTCTCATTATTCTTGCTCACCTGCGGATCGGAAGGTCGTCAATTCAGGTCCTGATGGAGCCAGACTATTTTCAAAAATGATTTTGGCTCCCAGATAAACCCAGCCTTAAATGGAGACCAGGTACTTTCCTGGAAAGTAAAGGCAGCCAGTGTGATGTTGACCATATTACCCAATGAGTGCCAATTGTCTATAAAATAAAGTTCAAGCACTAAATGCCCAATATGCCTAAAAGTATAGTTAAGGGTCCTTTAAAAAAAATCCTTATTCCCCCAGCCAACAAACGTTCTGTCAATGTTGTGATGTTTATGACAGAGTTCAACTTCCCACAGCCTACAAATGTTCTGTCACTGTTGTGATGTTTGTGACAGAGTTCAGCTTCCTCCAGCCTGCAAATGTTCTGTCATTATTGTGATGTTTGTGACAGAGTTCAACTTCCCCCAGCCTACAAATGTTCTGTCACTGTTGTGATGTTTGTGAAAGAGTTCAACTTCCCCCAGCCTACAAATGATCTGTCACTGTTGTGATGTTTGTGACAGAGTTCAGCTTCCCCCAGCCTACAAATGTTCTGTAATGTTGTGATGTTTGTGACAGAGTTCAACTTCCCCCCAGCCTACAAATGTTCTGTAAACATTGTGATGTTTGTGAAAGAGTTCAACTTCCCTCAGCCTACAAATGTTCTGTAATGTTGTGATGATTGTGAAAGAGTTCAACTTCCCCCAGCCAACTAATGTTCTGTCAATGTTGTGATGTTTGTGACAGAGTTCAACTTCCCCCAGCCTACAAATGTTCTGTCACTGTTGTGATGTTTGTGACAGAGTTCAACTTCCCCCAGCCAACTAATGTTCTGTAAACATTGTGATGTTTGTGTCAGAGTTCAACTTCCCCCAGCCTACAAATGTTCTGTAATGTTGTGATGTTTGTGACAGAGTTCAACTTTCCCCCAGCCTACAAATGTTCTGTCAATGTTTTGATGTTTTACAGAGTTCAACTTCCCCCAGCCTACAAATGTTCTGTCAATGTTGTGATGTTTGTGACAGAGTTCAACTTCCCCCAGCCTACAAATGTTCTGTAATGTTGTGATGTTTTACAGAGTTCAACTTCCCCCAGCCTACAAATGTTCTGTCAATATTGTGATGTTTGTGACAGAGTTCAACTTCCTCCAGCCTACAAATGTTCTGTCAATGTTTTGATGTTTTACAGAGTTCAACTTCCCCCAGCCTACAAATGTTCTGTAATGTTGTGATGTTTGTGACAGAGTTTAACAAGAGCTTGGAAGCTGACATTATCGGGGATACATCCGGCCATTTCAAGAAGTTACTTGTCTCCCTTCTGCAGTCAAATCGCAGTGACAGTAAGGAAGTGGACAGAAACATGGCTAACCAAGATGCCAAGGTAATCAAACATATTAAAAAAAAATTATTATTTATGAACCAAAATTGTATTATTTAAATATAAACAGTATTCAGTGATTTTTGGCATGTACCAAAAGTACATATAGTAGAAACCATCATTAATGTCTATGCATTTTAATTTATGTGTGCTTCTGCCAGTTGTGACCATTTTGGCTTATAGTAATGTTGAGTTTGTAATATGTATATTTTTACATTAGTGGACTCCAAATGTTGAGTTTGTAATATGTACATTGTTACATTAGTGGACTCCAAATGTTGAGTTTGTAATATGTAAATTTTTACATTAGTGGACTCCAAATGTTGAGTTTGTGATGTGTACATTGTTACATTAGTGGACTCCAAATGTTGATTGTGTAATGTGTACATTGTTACATTAGTGGACTCCAAACATTGAGTGTGTAATGTGTACTTTGTTACATTAGTGGACTCCAAACGTTGAGTGTGTAATATGTACATTGTTACATTAGTGGACTCCAAATGTTGAGTGTGTAATATGTACATTGTTACATTAGTGGACTGCAAATGTTGAGTTTGTAATGTGTACATTGTTACATTAGTGGATTCCAAATGTTGAGTTTGTAATATGTACATTGTTGCATTAGTGGATTCCAAATGTTGAGTTTGTAATATGTACATTGTTGCATTAGTGGACTCCAAATGTTGAGTTTGTAATGTGTACATTATTACATTAGTGGACTCCAAATTTGAGTTTGTAATATGTACATTGTTACATGAGTAGACTCCAAATGTTGAGTTTGTAATGTGTACATTGTTACATTAGTGGATTCCAAATGTTGAGTTTGTAATGTGTACATTGTTGCATTAGTGGACTCCAAATGTTGAGTTTGTAATGTGTACATTGTTACATTAGTGGACTCCAAATGTTGAGTTTGTAATGTGTACATTGTTACATTAGTGGATTCCAAATGTTGAGTTTGTAATATGTACATTGTTGCATTAGTGGACTCCAAATGTTGAGTTTGTAATGTGTACATTATTACATTATGGGACTCCAAATGTTGAGTTTGTAATATGTACATTGTTACATTAGTGGACTCCAAATGTTGAGTTTGTAATATGTACATTGTTACATTAGTGGACTCCAAATGTGGGTTCCAGGGAAAGTACATCTAGTGATACTATTCTTAGTTTTTCTCAGTGTTTCCTTTTCTTCACAAAGAGAGATGTTGACAAACATCAATCCTGTCTCCAAACGTCAGTGCCACTTCTCATCTTCATCTCAATGAAACCTGATAAATTTTGTGTACAGGCATTATACCAAGCTGGCGAGCAGAAGTGGGGGACTGAAGAATCCCAGTTTAACAAAATTCTGGTGTCTAGAAGCTTCCCTCAGCTCCGTGCAACATTTGAGGAGTACAAGAAAATCTCCAAGAAAGACATTGAAGATGTTTTAACAAGTGAATTCTCAGGTGACATCTTGAGTGGCCTGAAAACCATCGGTAAATATGATTTTTTTTTTGGGGGGGGGGGGGGGGGGACGAACTTACTTTAAAAAACTGGCTAGATATTTTAAAATCATCATCATGTAGCAGGTCTTTTTCAGCTGTCATCAGTGTCTCTCTGAAAGAAGCTTGTCTCTTGCCAGTTCTCTAGCCAATTGTCTCACTTCGTGCAATTTCATATCTGAGTCATTTATATCATTTTTTTCTAACCCCTTCCCCTCCTTCCTTCATGCCTTCTGTTATTATTTCTACCAGTCGACTGGGGTGCTTGATATGGCCAAAATATTTCAGCTTCCGAGAAAAGATGCTGTTTATTAGCCAATCTTCCTGGATATTCTGATCTTTTAGAAGTATTTCTTTGCCAGTTGTATTTTGAGAATCTTTCTATAGCATTTCAGCTCTAAAGCCCCTTTTTTTCTTCCCTATGAACTGGGAGATAGTCCATGACTCAGATCTGTATGTTACTGCAGGGAAGATGCAAGTCCATGACTCAGATCTGTATGTTGCTACAGGGTCGATGCAAGTCCATGACTCAGATCTGTATGTTGCTACAGGGAAGATGCAAGTCCATGACTCAGATCTGTATGTTGCTACAGGAAAAATGCAAGTCCATGACTCAGATCTGTGTGTTGCTACAGGGAAGATGCAAGTCCATGACTCAGGTCTGTATGTTGCTACAGGGAAGATGCAAGTCCATGACTCAGATCTGTATGTTACTGCAGGGAAGATGCAAGTCGATGACTCAGATCTGTATGTTGCTACAGGAAAAATGCAAGTCCATGACTCAGATCTGTGTGTTGCTACAGGGAAGATGCAAGTCCATGACTCAGGTCTGTATGTTACTGCAGGGAAGATGCAAGTCCATGACTCAGATCTGTATGTTACTGCAGGGAAGATGCAAGTCGATGACTCAGATCTGTATGTTGCTACAGGAAAAATGCAAGTCCATGACTCAGATCTGTGTGTTGCTACAGGGAAGATGCAAGTCCATGACTCAGGTCTGTATGTTGCTACAGGGAAGATGCAAGTCCATGACTCAGATCTGTATGTTACTACAGGGAAGATGCAAGTCCATGACTCAGATCTGTATGTTACTGCAGGGAAGATGCAAGTCCATGACTCAGATCTGTATGTTACTGCAGGGAAGATGCAAGTCCATGACTCAGATCTGTATGTTGCTACAGGGAAGATGCAAGTCCATGACTCAGATCTGTATGTTGCTTCAGGGAAGATGCAAGTCCATGACTCAGATCTGTATGTTGCTACAGGGAAGATGCAAGTCCATGACTCAGATCTGTATGTTGCTACAGGGAAGATGCAAGTCCATGACTCAGATCTGTATGTTGCTACAGGGAAGATGCAAGTCCATGACTCAGATCTGTATGTTGCTACAGGGAAGATGCAAGTCCATGACTCAGGTCTGTATGTTGCTACAGGGAAGATGCAAGTCCATGACTCAGATCTGTATGTTGCTACAGGGAAGATGCAAGTCCATGACTCAGATCTGTATGTTGCTACAGGGAAGATGCAAGTCCATGACTCAGATCTGTATGTTACTACAGGGAAGATGCAAGTCCATGACTCAGATCTGTATGTTGCTACAGGGAAGACGCATTTTAATGTACAATAAAGTAAATTCAGTATCTTTGAAAATAGACTCTCCTTTCTGTGTGGTTTTTGACCAGGGTAGAAATCTACTGCAAAATATTATTTAATTGAAGGAGTTTAATAAGCTTGTGTACTAGATGCATCAATAACTGATTTCACCATTTAAAAAAAGTTGTTACATGTTTATTACCTGTGTCGAGAATAGATTTCACCATTTTAAAAAGTTGTTACATGTTTATTACCTTGTTTAGTTAGTTGTATCGAGAATAGATTTCACCATTTTAAAAAGTTGTTACATGTTTATTACCTTGTTTAGTTAGTTGTATCGATAATAGATTTCACCATTTTAAAAAGTTGTAACATGTTTATTACCTGTGTCGAGAATAGATTTCATCATTTTAAAAAGTTGTAACATGTTTATTACCATGTTTAATTAGTTGTATCGAGAATAGATTTCACCATTTTAAAAAGTTGTAACATGTTTATTACCGTGTTTAGTTAGGTGTGTCAAGAACAGATTCCACCATTTTGCACGGCAGCTTCAAAAAACAATGAAAGGTATGGGCACAGATGATAGTACTCTTATTCGAATTATCATCAGTCGATGTGAGATTGACCTTGTACAGATCAAGGAAGAGTACAAAAAGCTAACAGGAAAATCACTGGAACAAAGCATTACTGTAAGTATTAATGAATGTTATTTGTTCCCTTATAACTGAGGTATAAACTGCTGTGTATACATACATTGAGAGAAGTTAGAAGACAGACTCATTGATGAAATGTGATTGTACAGGAAAATAGGTTAAATTTGAAAATATACCATGGCAAATGAATAGTCTTTAATATAATTTAAATATAAAGAAAATTACTGAATGAAATAAAGGTTCATCAATATATGTGTGTGTGCGTGGGCACGCACGTGCATGTGTATGAGTGTGTGTGTTAATATAAGGCATATTAACAGACATATTACTCTGCTCAAGACTATAATATAAGGAAATTAGATAAGCCTTCTGCGTTATAACGACTAATAATAAATCTACTTGTGAGAATTAAAAAAAACCCATGTCATTATTATTTTAGGACGACACTACCGGACTCTACCAGAAAGTGCTGCTGGCTCTAGCCACAGGTGGTGCCCCACCAACAGCTAAATGTAAGTACCACATGTTTAATGTTCACATTTTAGCTTAGAGTGGTGTCCCTTATTATATAAACTATTTATATTTTACTGTCAGTGTTTAGTTAGTCTAACAAGTAACATTTAAGGTAACTTGGGGATTGACAAGTCACAGTAAGGTGGCACTTGATGATGATAGTAAAAATTAGCAAAAGTATCAGACGAATGCTAGAAATAAAGCCTGTCTTACAGGTGATCAAAGAATAACAAATGAAGTGGTTTGGACACCTAACAAGAATGCCCTGGTACTATCTGCCACAGCGAGCCACACTAAAACATTACAATGGGTATAGAGCGAGTGGAAGACCTCGGAAAAGATGCAGTGATGGCATTAGGAACAGCCTTACAGAAATAAACATCAGTCTTAATAGTGCTCTTGACAGAGCTCATCAACGAATATTACACCACTCCTCCCCCGACACTTCGATGAGCTACAAGGTGGAAGAGAAGAAGAAGAAAAAGTATAGTTTTATATTTGCCAATTTAACTTTGCAGCTGGCAAGGCTTTTGTGGAGTCTGTGAAGTACAAAACAGACGAGCAGCTGGATACAGAAGTCAAGTTGGAGACTGAACCAAAACAGGTAATCAGTGTGAAAATTTTGAGTTTAAAAAGAATAAGCTTTTTATGTAATTTGAAGTAAGGAAGCTATACATTGATTGATCCATATTTTTATAGATCAGTCAGCGCTTGATGAGTGGTGTGACCATTATCACGCTGTCTGCCTTTGTTTCCCATAAAACATCTTGATGTCAATTTTTGTGGCTGGGTTGAGTTAGAAAGCCAGGATAACTTTAAAATAAATTCTTATCCTGAATAAGGTTTGAACATAGTTCCAACTTGCAAACATGGTAGCTACTGCATGGCCTTAGCCAGCACAGTTACCACGATGTACAGTTATGGAGCAAATATCATCATCATCATCAGGTGCCTTGCCGACTGGCGTGGGCGATCATGCCTCTCCATAATCTGCGATCTCCTGCAGCATGTATCACTTCGTGTGCCGACACACCTCCATGCCATGCAACAAGACTGTCAAGCATATTCTCTCGTTGTCTACCTCTATCTCTCCTTCCACATATCTTTCCAGTGGTCACAACATGTTCTATTTTCCCTCTTCTCATAACATGGCCGAAAAATGATGACTGTCTCCTTCTGATGTCTGTGATAAGTTGTCTTTGGGCTCCCAAATATACTTCTTTTTAATCAAAATATAATGTCTACACAGGTAGGAGCACATGATGATGATGTCAAACAATATAAACCTATTTCTCATTCTTGCAATGTATTATTCATTTAATTTGGGGCAAAAATACAAAATATGTTGAGTGTGTGTTGAATGGTTGTGAAGTTATGGCATTTTTGGTTAGTCTGTATATTATTGTTGTGAGATAAAAGATTTTCAGTTGCCTTTTTTTTTGGCACTAATCTACAGGCACATGATGATAATGTGAAACAAAATGAACATAATTTTTTGTTTTTGTTAAATATGTTCTCCATTCAATTTGGAGCAAAAATACAAAATATGATAAGTGTTGTCATGTGATAGTTGTCAAGCTGTGGCATTTTTAGTGCACACTAAAAAAAAAATGTATGGTATCTGGGAAAGTGCAAGAGTTAAAGGGCTTTGTAGTCAGTGGGTTAATGTCTTACTGCTTTTCTGTGGTATCTCTTTTACTCCCTCCACCCATCTCTGTTTGGTCGGCTGCTTGATTTGTAGCCTGCTGTTTCTTGTAGTACGCTTTAGCTGGTGGCTGATTTTATTGTGACCAGATGATCATGTGACCAGATGATCATGTGACTAAACGATCATGTGACCAGACGATTATGTGACCAGACGATCATGTGACCAGACGATCATGTGACCAGATGATCATGTGGCCAGATGATCATGTGACCAGACGATCATGTGACCAGACAATCATGTGACCAGACGATCATGTGACCAGATGATCATGTGGCCAGATGATCATGTGACCAGACGATCATGTGACCAGACGATCATGTGACCAGACGATCATGTGACGAGATGATCATGTGACCAGATGATCAAAATATTTTATTCTTTTTACTGGGACCTTGTTCTTCATATATCATTTAGCATCAACAATAAAGTAACAATTAAATATATGGTTGACTTTAAAAAAAATCTTCTTCATTTTTGATTTGTTTGAGTATCCCTATCTTTCATCAGTGCTTCAGCTATCTCCTTAAAAAGATACAAAGCACATCTACACACAGTGCACAAACTCCCTAGAACTGGCAGTTATCAAGATGTGTAAACCAAAATCAACACATATTGTAACCATTCCTTGTATTAAATATAGCTTTTCTATTTTCTGTGCAGTTTTGCATTAACATACGAAGACCTAAACAGTTAATGTCCCTATAGCAGGGTCTTTTCTTCTTCTCTCCCTTCCCTGCTACACACACACATACACACACGCACATACTTGCACACACACACATATATGTATGTTTATGTGTACAGTTTGATATTGTTATTTATGAGGAGTGCATTTTTGTGATTTCTTGTACAGGAAACTCCGACCTTGAAACCAGTTGAGGGATTTAACCCTGAACAGGATTGTGAAGTTCTGCAAAAAGCCATGAAAGGATTGGGTGAGCAATTCTGTGGATTAAGTCTGTGAATTACATACTTGCATTTATGGGTATGTTTGATTGTGCAGTGATTCAGGGATGATTCTGTTAAACATTAATGAAGGATTATTTAGTCATTCAGTGATGCTTATTTTCTTCATTCATATTCTTTTGAAGAAGCTAACAAATATTATTTTGAAAGCACAGTTTTAAAGATTATACAACTTTGATCATATCATGTTTCCTGAGGTAGGTACGGATGAAAATGCCATTATCAGCATTCTTGGCTACAGATCAATGGAGCAGAGACAGAAGATTGCACTGACTTACAAAACTCTGTTTGGCAAGGTGGGTCAACTTTAGTTAGTAGTTTAATGCAAGTATAATATCAGTGATCTCAGTTTACAGAATCATTGTTCTTTTTTTCTTTTAACTTTTGGAACAATATCCATTGTTAATTTCATGGAGACTTGAGACTTCATAACATCACGGCATATGAAGCGACTGAGCGCGCCCTGGCTCGGTTGCCGATCATCTGATAGACTGCGACGTCTAGTGGCACAAGCAGATTTTGACAAAAGAAGAAGAGAAGAACTTCATGGAGAAACAAAGTCTGAAATGGTTTGGCCAATTAGCAAGAATAAATGCAATGCTGCATGCAGGGGAAGCCAGCATACAACATGAAATCAGAAACACCCAGAGACAGAGAGATACCTAGAAGATAATGGATTGAAGGAGTCACTGAGAGCTCACATAATCACAGCATACCAAGTGACGAGTGCAGCCTGGCTCTGCCATCAATCACTTGTTTAACTTTGATGCCTGGTAACACAAAGCAGATACTAACAAATAAAGAATGAAAGTTTTTTTTTTCAAAGCAGACACCAGTTTTCTGCAAGATAGACTGATATTTTCTTTTATTTTCTGCTTCTTTTCATCTGGGAGTCACCGTGGCATAGCGGCTAGATGCTCGCATGCAGATCAAAAGGTGTGGGTTCGCTCCCTGGCAGAGCTGGGCTTTTTTTCAAAAATTACCTTGGCTCCCAGGTCGACCAAGCCTTCAGTTGGTACCTGGTACAGTCCTGGGAAGTAAAGGCAGCCAGGATGATGCTGACCACATCATCTATCTTGTGCCGTTGGTCTATAAAATATAGGTATAGCCCTATATACCCTATACATTTTAAAAGGCATGTTGAAGAGTCCTTTACTTTACTTTACTTCTTTTGATCTGCATGGAATGTGGACTGAGCCAAGTCTTTAATCAACTTTAAGACATGTTCAAGATTAGCTGCAATTTGCAGATTAAGTTTTCTACAAAATGATGTAGTCAGTCTTATTTTAGCCTTCTGTAATAGATTCTGACAACACACACGCCCGATTACTGTCGCCTGCTTCTTTAACAGGCCCTAGAAAAACAGACTCACAAAGCTCCATGCAGAGTGGCAAGCATCGCTTCAGAAATCCTCAGTAGTTGGTACCCTTTGGATATTTTTCTCCAGGGCATGAATGAGTGTTGGGGAATGAACAGACAGACAGACAGACTAGCTGATCCTACAACACATCGTGGTAATTAATGCATGACAAGCGAGGCATGATCAAGGCCTTTTGAGAGCAAGTGAATGGTGCAGCAGCACAAACAGATCATTTTGATCTGGAGAGAATGTTGCTGCAAGGAGTGACCAGAGAATCTTGCCACACTCAGCAAGATGAACATACAAGGGCAAGATGGACATGCAATCATGTAGGTTCTTAAATTATCTCTCTAATAGGCCCACGGAAAAATGATATATTTACCCATGAACCATAGAGTAATTGCCTAAACTGTTATAAAACTTCTTCACTACTTTTTGATACTTTGTTTTTCTCAGGATCTGGCAGCTGAACTGGCAAGTGAGTTGAGTTTTAATTTTAAAACTCTGTGTGTGGAAATGCTACTAGGCCCAGCAGAGTTTGATGCCAAACAACTGAACAAAGCAATCAAGGTAAAATCTAGATCACTTTTGGAAATATTTGTTTTTGATACAGAAGACGCACGCAACATAGTTTGTTTTTTATTTGCAGATATATTTCACTGTATCTCATCAGTTGCACACAACAGAATGTACATCAGTGTATAGTTTTGCAAAAGTTATTGTTTGACCCGAAGAACACTAAAAACAAAGTACATTGCTTCGTTGTATACATTACCATGGAAGCCTTAGACTCACCAGAATGACTTTCTAAAAAAGAAAAAAAAAAACGTTGTGCCATTCTTATGTACTGTTTGGTTTTTTTACCGGGAAGGCTAACCCGGTCAACCAATGCCCGCAGAAGTCGGATGTGTTGGCCGAAAGGTGCAAATATCGCAGCCATGCTGTAAACGGACACAACGCAGTTA